ACGTGTACCATGCTGCTGCAATCACCACAGATCCCAATAAGGGCTGCGAAGAGCCAAGTATTACCCATGATGTACTTACTACCTGTGACACCACAACCAGCTTGTGACCTAGAGCCATGGAATGGTGGTTGCCAGCCAATACTGATAACCGATTCATGCAATCTAACATTATCTGTAAGAGTATTATTGTTAACATCTGTGCTTGCTTCACCTGATCTCTTTGTTGTCCTCACTCACTTGCTCGACCAGCCAATAACCCTGATTACTATTGGTCCACTGAAGAGGATGAACTCTTGTGCCGGCTACCACTCCGAGTGGGTGACTTGTGACTGCTTCCCCTAGGGGATCTCATGACTTTTCGTGATGCCCCCACTTCTGGACTACTAAAGGGAGACCGACTGCGAGACTTGCTGTGTCGAGACCTTCGTGCATATTCCTCCTCCTCTTCTTCATCTTCAAGATCGATCAATGCCTCCATCTTCTTCTTTTGTTCATCATTTAGCAAAGCCAGCATAATCTTACTCAATCGGTCTTGAATATGCTCGACTTCTTTCATATCGATTTCTGTGTACTTGGTGACGGTATGGATAAACTTGGATTGGAACTTGGCTGACAAAAGTGAAGTATCCATACCCTCCATGGCATTCATCACAGCCGCCATACCCGTTAGAGATGGCTTTATCTTGACAAAGTAATGATCCGCAATGGCCAATTCAGTTTGGTAGCGTGCGTAGTCAAAGATAGCACCCCGGACCGCACTGTGGACGGTCTCTGGAAGGAACAACAAGAGATTCTGTGCAAAACCCAATGGTGTTGGACCACTAACTCTCCAAACCAAGGCTTCTAGAATCTTCTTTTCCATGTTGGCAAATTCCATTTCAGTGTAACATCCTCGACTAAGGTCCGCCAACAGCGAGGTCTCCATTTCCAAAGGTTCGTGAATCTTAATGGCAATGTACAAACAGGTCATGGCCACCAATTGGTATTCCTTGCGATCACTCAAGGAGCGTCTCCCCTTTCTAGAACACAAGTATCTGTCCAGATACGACATGCCAATTCCGACAGTCTCTCGACGGAACTTGCAAAAGTCGACCACCTGATAACACCATTCGCACATTTTGACCCGGCAATCTTCATCGACTGGTTTGGCGGCGAGTCTACAAATCTCCTTGAAGGCTACGAGATAATCAATGCATTTGTAATCCCCTTCTTCTTGACGGATCATAAAGCCGACTCGTTCCGGGATTTCTTGTTTCTCATGTTTGGGCAACAGGGCCCACTCGGCCAATGGTGTGGAGGCAATTACAAGTTGTTTTGGCATTTTGCATCAGTCTTCTTGCTGTATTTTAAAACTGGATGTTTGTTGGTGTCTGATGCAATATGTTGTCGAACGAGATTGAACGAATAGAAAATTTCAATAGACAGCGGAACGCAAGTTATTTCAAGTTTGGAAATGGTGTTGATGGTGTAAGTGCAGCCAGTGTAGGAGATGATGAAGATGAGAGACATAGTCATCCTGTATCCGGGTTCTTAGCCCAAGAGAAAATCCGGCCGGTCATCATTGAAGATGACCGCCAATTTGTCTGTTCCATAAGTGAAATTTGTCCTTACCTGTATTTCCCCTCCCCCATATACCCGAGGTTCCCCTTCCTCTCCACGTTGGAGGAAAATCTGATCAAGTACCACGTCATCCAACTGGTCTCTCCATCGACCGTCATTCATCCCTGACTGAAAGCACACCAAAGCTGTGCTTTACCCCTCTCATAATTCCACCTCATTTTGCATAGGTACACGACATTATGCAATCAAGATTCCACGCAATCATTGCCAACAATAACAACACCCATTCAACTTCAGCATCATACTCCAAGAACTCTCCGTTATTGTGTTGAATAATTTCATTGTCAACCGCTACAAAAAAAGTACTAAACGAGTCAGTGAGTCAGTCAATCTCCAAACCTCAGCCATCAACGTTTGAAACTCTAAAAGCATCAACGTTTGACTCCAAACTTTTGCGCTTTCCAATAACAAAAAACGAAAGCAATGAAAACCAAAGTCCGGTTCGATGGTCTGGATGTGGCTGCCATGGTGGCCCAATGGAACCGTGTGGCCTTGGGACGTCGTGTGATTAATATTTACGATGGTCCGAACGGAGATACCTACTTGTTCAAATTGGACAAGAGTTCCAATGCTCAAACCAATACGGCGCAAGGTGACAACAACAACAGCAACAACAACAACGGAAACAGTTCCAACAATAACAACAACAACAACAACAACAACCAATCTTCCAATCTCATTTTGCTCATGGAATCCGGTATTCGCTTCCATTCCACACGACAACCGGTGGACACGCCTGGAATGCCATCGCCCTTTTGTTCCAAACTGCGCAAGCATTTGCGAGGCTTGCGATTGGAGCAGGTGCAACAGCTGGGAAACTACGACCGTGTGGTCCATTTAGTCTTTGGAAGTGGTGATCAACAGCGTCATTCCTTGTTGCTGGAATTGTACTCCAAGGGTAACATTATTTTGACCAATGCGTCGTTTACCATTTTGTCCCTGCTGCGATCCCACGAATACGAAGACAAAAGTGGTGGTGGTGGTGGTGGTGATAATGCTACTGCTGCTGCTGGTGCTGGTGATAGTGATACCGTGAACAACAACAAAAACAACAAAAATGGTAGTCAACAAGTCAAGGTGAAAGTGGGACACGCGTATCCAGTCACGTATGCTACCACCATGAATGCCATTCAGAGTGAAACGGGCGAGGAATCCAAAGAAGCGGATGTCACAACCACAACCTTTTTGGATGCCCCCAATCCAATGGAATGGTACCAAGCCTATAGTGAAGATCAACAAAAGAAGGAACAGGAGCAAGAACAACAGCCACAGACTAATAATAATAATAATGGTGGCAAGGGAAAGAAGAACAAGAAAAAGAACAAGGGAGGAGCAGGAAATGGACACGATTGGAAACAACTCTTGTCCAAATCCGTCTCGGGTGTTTCGCATTATGGACCATCACTCATTGATCACTGTCTTCTTTGGTTGGCTTCTCTCCATCAAATTGGTGATCACAATAGCCAAACAGAAGGAAATAAGCCCAAACAGCCAAGCGAACTGAATGAGGAAGAATGGAAACTGGTCCAATCGGTGCTCAAAGAAAAGGGAGATGAAGTATTGAACAGCTTGAATGGAGTCGATTCGAAGGGATACATCTTTTACAAACCAAAAGATAAGAACAAGAATGATTCCAATGCTGCTGATGACTCGTCCACAAACAAAGCTGCCGCAAGTCCCAATGCACCGACTTCCTCATTTGACGGCAAGTTGATTTTGGAGTTTCAACCACACATTTTGAAGCAACATCAACCAGACGCAAGCACTACTACAATGAAACATATGGAATATGATTCTTTTGACCAGGCCGTCGATGCATTCTTCTCGCACATTGAAGGGCAAAAGCGAATGATGGGTGCCGAACGACAGCAAGCCCAGGCTCAGCAAAAGTTGGAAAGGATCCGTCAAGATCAGAAACAACGTGTTCAAGCTTTGGAAATGCAACAGGAATCACTCAAGGAACAAGCGCAGTTGGTGGAGTTTCATGCCGACATGGTGGAAAAGGCGATTCAAGTTGTAAACTCGGCTCTGGACAGCGGAATGGACTGGGACCAATTGGAAGATTTGGTACAAATTGAAAAGGTTCAGAATCAAAATCCTGTTGCCATGCTCATTCACAAACTTCAGCTGGAACAAGATGCCATGGTGCTGAGATTGGCCCGAGAAGGTGTCATGTACGAAGCGGCTGGGGACGACGACGACGACGACGGCAATGACGATCAAAAAGATGCTAAGACATTGGACGTGACTGTCTCTCTCAAGGAAACGGCACATGCCAACGCTAGTGCACTTTTTGCAAAGTATCGAGCCAGCAAGGAGAAATCACAAAAGACTATAGAGGCTAGTGCCAAAGCACTGGAAGCAGCCGAAGAAAATGCCCAGCGACAACTTCTTGAGGCACAGACTCGGAAAAAGACACTTTCACACAACATGGCGGTCAAGCGAAAACCGCTTTGGTTCGAAAAGTTCAATTGGTTCATCACTTCTGACAACTATCTAGTCATTGGTGGACGGGATGCCCAACAGAACGAGCAAATTGTCAAGCGCTACTTGCGTCCAGGAGATGCCTACCTTCATGCCGACGTTCACGGAGCAGCCTCTTGTGTCTTGAGGGCCAAACGAAAGCGGCAGACCAATGGGAAAACGACACCGTTGTCACTCTCGGATCAGGCGCTGCGGGAAGCTGGGAACTTTACGATTTGTCGGTCATCAGCGTGGAGTTCGCGCATGGTGACATCGGCTTGGTGGGTCGAGTCTCATCAAGTCAGCAAGACGGCTCCCTCTGGAGAATACTTGACAGTTGGTTCGTTTATGATTCGTGGCAAGAAGACCTTCTTGCCGCCCACGCAATTGGAAATGGGATTAGGGGTTCTGTTTCGGCTGGGTGATGATGATGCGATTGCCAGACACAAAAATGAGCGACGAGACTTTGCATTGATGCAAATGGATGACCAGGATGACTTGGATCTTGAAATTCCACTTTCAACGGAGAAGCCAGTCCAAGCGCCAACGGCGAAGCAGGAAGCAGTGAAAAAGGAGCCCCCGGCCTTTGTTGAGGAAAAGAAGACGGAGAAGCCTGACGACGGCGTCAACGACGAAGTTGACACGGTGTCGCCACCAATGGCAACAGCCGCTGTGGATGAAGCCAACAAGTCAGAAGATTCAGGAAAAGAAGAGCCAGTATCTGACGATGAAGAAAAAGAAAGAGACGAGGATGCCACCGAAACCCAGGAACCTGCACCTACAACAGCTCCGCCGCAACAAGCAAAACCCAAGAAGGGTTTGTCTGTCAAAGAGCGGAAACTAATCCGCAAATATGGATCCTTGGAAGCTGCGAAAGCGGCTGAGGAAGAGCGTGAAAAAGCACAGGCTGCCAAGAAGGCTGCTGCAACAACTCCAGCGGAGCAAAAGGCAAAGACCAATGGTCAGACAGAGCACAAGAGAGGGAAAAAGGCGAAATTGAAGCGCATGGCAAAAAAATATGCCGATCAAGATGAGGAGGACCGTGAACTCGCCATGCTTGCTCTTCACGCCGGAGAGAAAATCAAATCAAATGACCAAAAAAAGGCTCCCGAAATCAATGAAACTGAGAAAGAAGCTGCCGCACAGACTGTGGCAATTCTGAAGAAGGATTCATACAGCATTGCACAAAAATTGCCCGAAGAAGTCCAGGGCTATCTATCCAAATGTGTCACCGTTACAAATGGAGACGAAACAACTGTTCGTTGGGATAAGTTTGATGGCGATGTCTTGGAGCAACTGGAATCATTTGACCTCTTGGAAGAGAAAGTTGCAGCAGCCCAGCGACTGCTAAATCTTAAGGAATCCACAAGAATAGACAATTTTTCAGCCAGTCTTGCCGGAATCATACGGACAATCAAGAAATATGGACATGAAGGCCTTGGGAAACAGGAAGTATCTGATGATGGTAAGCGAAAGACCAAAGCCGAGAAAGAAGCTGAAAGCAAGTCGTGGAAGCAGACTCTGGCCGAGGAAGGTATTGTTGAGGATGAATCGGAAGAGGATGTTGTTGACGACACAGTCGAGCTGAATAAGCTGACAGGCAAGCCACATCCTGATGACCTCATTCTATTTGCAGTTCCGGTTTGCGCACCCTACCAAACCCTTTCAAAGTATGGATATCGCGTCAAGTTGACGCCTGGAAATATGAAACGTGGAAGAGCTTCGAAACAATGCATAGACGTTTTCTTGAAGGAAGGACAGGAGTCTGCAGTAGTAGACCGAAGTAAAGATCTGATACGGAAAGTTGGCGATAGTGAATGGGTTTCCGCAATCTGTGGGGATGTCAAGATTTCAGCAGCTGGTGCTAGCAAGGCGATGAAAAACCAAAAGATGAAGAACAAAGGAAAAGGAAAGAAATAGACCCATAATATTTATACTAGACATAAAGCCTGAATGCTATTGCTATTGTTCCGCTTTATTCAAGGTCACCTGTCACAGCTACGCTCCAGCAGCAACAAGAATCTTTGTCTTCTTCGTCAGAAACTGCCTTCTCACCTGCGTGTTGTCTTTGTGCATCAAAACCGCCATAACTTTGACCTTCCAGCATGACCTCAATCGTCCCGGGACATTCCTCGTTCTCAAAGTCTATCCTTCTTGGGTCATCGTTCTCTTGTCCTTTCACAACGACGATCGAAAGTTCACAATTTGCCTTGCGTGATACGTCGGTACAAGAACTCCCACGACTTTCCGATTCCACAGCATCGATCCGCTTCGAGAGGTTTGCAATGACACTTAATAGATCCTCCGATGCCACCGGGGAAGCTTGAGGAGTCGGTGGAACAGGATTGGGCGAGGCTGCCATTTCTTCTTCCGTTGAGCATTCTGAGACAGGGGTTGGCGAGCGGCCACGTGTTGTTGGGATTGGCTTCTTTTGCTCCAACGGCATTCGCACCTCTTCGATACGGTCAATCGGGAACGCCCTTGCGGTAATAGGTTTCTCAGATTCACTGCCTTCCGTCTCCAGTTTCTTGCATAAAGCAGCAACCAGTCCCGTTGGAGCCGTTGGTGGTGGAGAAGGAGGAGCATTCTCTTGATCGATAGCAGATTTGAGGCTCGCGGTGTCACTGAATTCCTCACCATGTGTCTCTTCCAGAGTATCCTCACTTCCATCACTCGAGATGCCGTCACGAATTTCATCCGTTTCGGAAGGAGACGAATCCAACTTCTCTTCGTCTGATTCTGAAACAGCCAAATCACGACTCTCAATCTTATCGGCATCGTTCTTTGCATTCTCAGCCAATGCTACTTCAAGGCGAGCTTTCAAGCTGAGAATTTCCCCGTCTTTTGCTTTCAATGCAGCAGCAGAATCCTTCATATAAAAATCGTGAATAGCATTTTTCGTCGAAGTTTCTTCCACATGCTCTTTCAATAGAAAGATTTCCTTGTCCTTCGCCTTCAGTGTGTTACGAAGTCCAGCAATGAGAGAATCCTGCCTTCGGATACAAGTAGCACGGTCTTCCGCTTCATCGAACGGCTCCGGATCGATACCAAATGAAGGCCGAGCTTTGGGCTCATCAAAAGGTTCCAATTCAGCACTGGTGACAGGGCCACTTTGAGCCGATTCGGTGCGATTCTCAGCGTTACAATTCTTTTCAATAAGATCGTCCACCCTATCTGTCAACTCTTCAATAGTTTCCAGCAGCTCCTGTTCGCGTTCGATAAAAAGCTCCTTCTGATGGGCCAAATCTTCGAGCTCCGTCCTCGTCGCTTGAAGTTCCTGTTCCTTGTCTTCAATCTCGACCTCCTTCAATGCATTCAGTGCTCGCTGAGTTTCGACTGCTTCACGAAGATTCAGCATCTTGTTCGAATTATCCTCAAGAACTTCCTTGAGTGCTTCGAGCTCTCTTACCAAGTCTTCGTTCTGCGGCATCCATCCGTCCATCCACCGGGCGGCAGTCGAGCGGACAGTTTCTGCAGCCATGGAAGTAGGGGAGTTAGATGCTTCTTCTTTGGATGTGTCATTAGGATCTTGAGCAGAGTACTGCTCCCGCATAGACCAAATCGTTTTGTTTCCATCAAACGAGTTGAAGATTTCAGTAAGCTGCTTTGGCGTCATGGACATGGCGGCTCGGTTGCAAGTTACAGTGTCCTCTGGTGGATCTTCCATAATGATTGAAGGTTTTTTCGAAGGCGCAATAGAAGGAATGCTAACCATCTTGCTTGCTTTTGAGGCCTTGGAAACAGCTGCTTGAGTCGTTTTCTTGTTAAGCTTGCGCATTTCAGATGTGGGAAAGGCCCCAACTGAGCCATCCACTGTCTCTTCATCTTCATCGTCGGAAGAATTGACAGTCGAAACTCCCGAATTGGAAATTGTCCTGGTTGTTGCAGGCTTTCCCTTCTTGTTCGGATCGCTTGGTGTTGCTGGACTCAGATTCCACGCGGCAACCTCGGTGGAAGCCGACGATGAGATGGACAACGCCGCAACTCCATTGGTCTTCTTTTCCACCATTGAATTCTTGCTCTCGATCATTGTTTGAATGTTTTCGACGACCTCCTTTGTCGTGTCATTGTTCGAGTGCTTGAATAGGACTCGAGGTGACATGCGATCGTAACTCTCACCTTCAGAGGATGTGACCGATGTGGTAGCTATCGATGGAAGGGAATCTGGCGACCCTTTTCCTTTGTTAGGCGTTGCAGCGGATACAGATATGGATGCCTTCATCATTGCAAAAACAATTTCTTCGATCGTCAACAACGGTGAGGAAATGGCATCGGTGAAACATCAAATTTCATTCAGAAGCGTTTTCTGGCGGACTCATGTTTCAATTTTTCACAGTGAACCTGCACAACAGCTTTTGTGTACGAGTCAACTGACGGGGGCATCGTTCAGCATCTCTTGTCAAGCGTTGAAGCCGTAGCAAGCGCGGACGCATTGGCTTGATTGCGTCGTTATTGTGAACCGTCAAAATTCGAAAATGGGTTTCCACGTTCTGGGACTCAATTTGAAAATTCAAAAGCTGAATCCCGAACTCCCCCAAAATTCCCCACAATGGGTATTTCCCTCTACAGTAGCAAAGCGTTGAAATTGCTCGAGATGTGATCTTCTGGCATTATGATACCCTAAGCAATGGGCAATGACATCTCCTGTCCAGCTCGCTCAAGCCATACTGCCAATCGGGTGGTCAACAATCCCATTATTCCAATCGTCCCAAAGATTAAGATGGATCCGTGCTCCGGCGGAATGCAGAACGTAGTTTTTGAAAATGATACGAATACCAAGAATCCCGCAAAGATTGGCCCCATTCCTTTCGCAATACTCGAGCCAATCAATAGAATGCCATTCATTTTCGCACGTTGCTGCTTTGGCACGGAACGATTGGTGGCAATTGCCAGGCTGGAATAGCAAGCGCAGACCAAAATCTTGCTCAATCCAATCAACATGCTGAGGAAGAGGAGGATACTCCATTTTGACAAGCCGTCGCGCATCATCCATACCGATACTGGAATCAATGACAGGGGAACCAGACCAAGCGCACATCCCACTGTGATTGATTGGGAGACTCCGAATCGGTGAATGATGGTATGATAAGTTGCATATTGACCAAGTGCAAAAATGAGACCAGCCAAACTCAGAACTTGTCCAATATCCTTTTCTTGGAACCCCAGACCGCCAACAGATGAAATTGTGAACAGCGGAAATCCATCATCAATGACAGTGACCACAAAGGAAAATATCCAATTGAAAATCATGTGTGCTTGTGTCGGCTTTCGGCTCCAGATTGGTACCAGTATTTCTGGTTCATCTTGATTTGCAATAAGCCCTTCTTGTGGTGCCACCAACAGTTTGGTTTGCTCGTTTGACGAGGCCACGTCGTCTTCTGTATCACCCCCGTCGTCATCATTCGTACTATTTTCCAAATGTCGGTGACTCTTTTTCTTCTGATTGTCATCGTCCAGCGTCTCGGATAGGGTAAAGGACACCAGAATTGCTGCCAGGAGACAAGTGACGGCAACCGCAATGTTTGGCAACAGATAGGGAAACGAGCCAAACAATTTTGACTGAAATCTATTGCCTTCGAAATGCTTTGGATATTGCTGAATCGGCTGTGACAACAATCCACCAACCGCAGGGCCCAATAAGAATCCCCAGGATCTCATTCCGACGACGAGTCCCATGGCTTGCTTTTCAATCTCTTCATCGCCATGGCCAATTTCAGAGGCCAATGTTTTGGTGGTGCTCGTAACTGCACTAGATAGACCCAGGCACAGTCTCCAGACAATCGCCATGAAAAAGCTTGTGGACATTCCAAAGAGTATCGAAAACATTGCCGACAGAATCAATGAACATTGCAAGACAAAGATTCGACCCTTTTGATCTGCAATTTCTCCCCATAGGTAGGCCGTCCCACAACGGCCCAGCATGAAACTGGATGACAATATTCCCGCGTATCCACCAACACTCTCAGGTGTCGTGTCTGGCAGTAGTCCAAGCACCATATATCCTGCATACGGAAAGATGCTGACAATCACGAATGCATTCGCCAACGAGCAAAGGCAAAGGGCTCCAACAGACCCAACATAAGACTGGCGCTGCATGATATGGAAGATCCCTCTTCCAATTAGCCTTCGCCTTTCTAAAGGTGCCAGTCTTAAACAAGTGCCGATTGGATCTGATGAAAACTGGTTCTATAATGCGGCAACAACCACAGTGTCCTCTCAAGTTGTAATGTTCGAGAACAGAGAACTGAGCTCTCGAACACTGATATAGACGGACGATAAATGTCCGTATTCGAATGGTGAACAGAAGTCGCGCAAGTACAATTGATCATTATTGATCGTCACTTGGACTGGTCCCGTTGTTCTTGGAATAATACTGGTATATTCACTTGAAGTGAAGAGCTCCGGGAATTTTGACAATGCTTCTGGTGGTACCGGTAGATAAGAAGGTTTTAAAAGTGTTGAATAAAAGCGATTTCTGATGCCGGGAACGTGGTCCATGTGAGTATTTGTTCTTGGATGCAGAGCTCCTCGACAATTACAGTCTATCTGCGGCATATCATATGTAAAGTAGAAACTTTAGTGAAAATAAGCCCGTCTGATAAGTACCTAGTTGCTTCGGCAATGTGAGGGTTTGCTTTGACTGTAGGAAACGCGAATCATGTGACCCAACACAACTTGTTACCACGAATGCGTGGTGGGGAAGGAAACCTATTGTAATGTAGGCGTGACCTCTGTGTGATTTCAGCGTGGCAAAACGCCTGGCTATTATTTGGTACAACAGGGTGTACCACCACACGGCAGATAGGTTTGCGTTGTCTTCGGAGGGGAATGTGTCTGACTACTAATATCTTGGGCACTAACCCTACTGGTACCGCCGGTCACCCCATTACCTGCTCCTCTTATACCGCCTCAGATCTACCTTCTGAGTTGTCAATAGACATCTTCAGTCTCTTTTGTCGATTCTCGTCGTTGTTGTCTGTCCTGAACATGTTGTTGACAGTTGAATTCGTACTTTTTTTAGGCGACTTGACCTTTTTCAGATCCCATTCTCGCTTTCGTCTGAAACCATGGCAGACCTTATCTCTTGCCTCTCGGCTAGGTACCTCTACCCACATTCCCGAGGCATCGTCTCGTTTCAAGAATCTTCCAGAACTTTGGTTGATTTGTTGTACCAACTCCTCGGCAATTTCTGTCTTTCGGTCGCGCTTGGCACTGTCATATTCTTCGTACTTCAAAGCTACAAGTTCGTGAAGCTGCTTGTTGCCTATATGTTCTTGACACGGCATTCCTTTTCCTAGTAGCACATCGAACTTGGTGGGCACATCCACAGCTCCATCCTGTAATCGATTAGTCTTTAGAAATTGTTCCTTTTGCTTTCTCCGGTCCAACCATCCCTTGTGTTTGCCGCTCTTCAGCTGTCCCTCAAGTGTTACTGGAAAATCCTTGGCAGGAATCCCGAAAGTCATGAGTTTGTATTGGCATTCACTGTGAGACCCTTCGTGAACTCGCATTCTGACGCACAACGAACTGTCCCCCACTATGGTGACAACCTTGAGCATGAGGCTGAACTGTTTAGTACTGCTGTGACAATGATGGAAACCCGAAACTCGCACAGGGATGCAAGTGCCAGCATTCATACAAGCGAACCACATTGCCTTATTCCTCTCCCCCCCTTTATCTTGCAATTGAGATCCAACTGCGTACGTAATCGCGACAAATCCCTTGAGCTGAGACTCTTCATCTTCGGCAACGGTACTAACAATGTACCAGACTGCCTTTGGCTGCATAGTCGTATTTCAGCGAAAAGAGTGCATGTGAGACACAAAGCATAACTTTCAGATACTTCACGCCAATTGAAGAAACTTACCAATGTTGCAAGCGTAGTCAGCCCACTCAAATGATGTCCAGGCGAAGATACATATACATACCTTCCAAGTGTATCTCTTGATGGAAGTAAACTTATTGATCCTCGAGCAACCACCTTTTGGGTATCAGAGTCTAAATCTTCAAAGGTGATGGTCTTGGTAAGCATTTCGGCCCCAAAGAGTTCTTTCTTGGTTTCAAAATACTTAACCATTCGAGCGGCTGCCTTGGTAGCATCGTAGCATTCAGCTCGCAAGAAAGATAGTTGGAAGGCATGGTTGGTGACAAAGTCTTCAGAAAGTTGCTTGGCGATATCAAAGGCTGGTTTCGACTTGATGGAAGCCAACTCGAACATGAGTTTCTGCATCAAATCTGCAATCGTCTTTGGCGTTTCATCTATTGGTTGGCTGATGCCATGGACATCTTCATAGGCTCGTTCTCTTTCTTTCAGTGAAAGTTTGCCAAGAGCCTGAGCAATCGCTTGTTCTGCTTTGATGTCAGCGTCCAATAATCCAGGTGAAGAACTCGCAACGACGTGCCCATCGTGGAACCGAGCGGATGCCTGCGAAATAGCGGACGGAGCCTCATCTTTGTTTCTTTGCATGATTGAGGGTGGCGTTTGGATCTCAGATTGTTTGGTATCAGTCTGTGAAAATGATTTGTCCTGTTTTCGTCGTCTTGAAATTCTGGAGAGCCATCCGCCGCTCAGTCGATAGAAATCATTGATTACCGCAACCTTCGCGTATCATTGTTTCAACGACGTCATTTATAAGACCCGATTGGTATTTATGGAAAAATGTTCTCCATTTCGATGGTTCGCAGAAACTCTTATAAAAGTGTTGTGCTATGTTTTATATAAAGGAACGCGCCCCGCATTCACGCTCTTTTTATCTCTCTCGCATCAACCCGCGACCGAATCGAAACAAGATCCAAGATGATTCACCATTTTTTTAAATCTCCGATCTACCCGGTACAACTTCGGCCCGTCCCCCATAACTGGAATAGTTCCGTACCGGTATTAGTACCACCGTAGCACACAAAATAAACCTGGTATCGATGCAGCTACCGTTAGGTTCGGGTACCTGCCGCTACTGCTACTATACTACAGTACTGTAGGTACAATCACCACAGGGTCGGCGGAGACGCACCAGGCAGAGAAATGGCCTTGTTATCCAACGGTACGTTTTCTGGAAACGACGAGCCACCAAAATGCTACTTCTTGGGGACGGAAACAACAGCAGAAGGAACGAGAACATTTGCAACGCTGTCTCACTATACCACCTGGCCAAGGTAGGCTGTATGATACTGCACTGTAGGTGTTGCAAAGCATGCAGTGGTGGCACGAGGCGAGGATGGCTGGTGTACACCACAGCCGTGAAATTAGTACCGTAGTTGCGATATACTGGTTCAGTCGGTCGCTGCTGAAGCCAGGTTAAAAAGGAATTGAATATGTTTCCAAGTGCTCTGGTGGCACAAAATGATGACTAAAGCTGATATGATAGGGAGTTGGTACTCTGGTACTTTCCTTGGTCTGCTATAGGTACAGCACCGTAAATTTTCAAAACCTTCGACCACCATTTCCTCTTCTGACACGAACATCTGTCCGATAGATAAACTTCGGACGATCCGGTTGCGCCGTCTTTTCCAACGGACAAGACACGCACTAAAACTCACCTCCAAATTTTGAAAAAGTTCTAAAACTTCATTCGTTCGGGGCACAAACGACTTTTGCCAATGCTTGACTATATCTTGTCCAATGCCATAGGTTTTCTTTCCCTCCTACCGCTACTAATCGCTGGTACATCATATGCGCTGTTTTTTGTTTCGTTTGCAAGTATTGCATTTCACTCGGTCGGAAATAAGCGACGAAAGACTGCGAAACATGAATCATGGGAACCCTCCACAACATCGTCCAAACCGAGCGATGCACGCTGTGCAAGGATAGATCCGTTGGTATACAAATTGGCGCACAACAATATGTCGAAGAGTCGCCACCAAGACTTGTTTGGAAAAATTGGTGTCATACAAGACGATACTATCCTTCATATTTGCAGTTATCTGACGCCCATGTCCATTACCAATTTGGCATGCGTCAACAAGGCTACAAATGAACTGGTTGATGATCACACTCAGACTTTAAGTCATTCCATATGGCAATTACTTTGGTTTAGAGATTATGGGGACGTCCTATTGGGTTGGGAAACATCACGCAATGCAGTACTGAAGTCCCTAAGACGTGATCATGATGAAGGATCGAACAACAATAATTGTGCTGCTGTCAATACTTCAGAACAACCAAGTCTGGCTACTCCAAATCTTGCAAATATGGTTGTAAATGCCTTGAGAGAGAAAAATACAAAAGAATTTTACTTTCGATTTCAGCTGGCGTTTGTGGACTACATCTTGGCAGGGCAAAATTCAGAAAGCAGGTGCCTGATGGGCATTCATGGTCACATTTTCGACTTTACAGATTTTGCACCCAACCATCCTGGACTATCGGAACCCATCCAATTGGAATGCGGCAAAGATGTTACCCATTTCTTTGAGGATGTTCGGCATTCCAAGGGAGCCAGACGGATTGCCCAGCGACTCTGCTTGATTGTCGACAAATCTCGTTTGAATGACTACACCAGCAATGACAATGACCTTCCCTGTGGACTCTATTGTCCGTCAAGAAACTCGAAAAATCTTACCAAATTTCTTCGCGAAACCAATACAAGGCCCCCTTCACCCGATGAAAGCCATCCACCATCACTTCGGATTGATAACCTCCTTCCGATGATGATTCGACCAACATTCGGTTCGCAAGGGAGAATACGAACACTGCAAACGTATCAGCGGCGTCATCAATATGAACGTAGCCAATTACCTTTGGCGAAACCAGTGTCGGATAAATATGCGGTACGCCTGTACTATGATCCTTTCTTGGGGCGATGGAGGGGGTGGCACTGGAAGGACGAGGGCCAATACTCCCAAGTGGTCTTCACAAAATTTTGACCTCGAATCATAGCATGTGCTATTGAATGAAGATATGGGTATATCGAAAATAAGCCTAACCATAATATATAGAACGATAGAAGATTTTGCTTTATCATCTGCAACATCTTCGGTAACTGCATGATCTTCCTTTGGATAGGTTATGGGCTCACAATTCCGACCAACTGGAATCCCAAAGATCTTGAAAAACGTTTCATCACCGCGCATCAACAATACAAGAAGTCCTGCTGCAATTGCTGTATAGAACACACAAGATAACCCCAGCAGTACATCAATTCTAAATCGACAATGTCATCTAATCAGGGATCAGCCATCAAGCACGAAGAAGGAGGTGCAGTAGCGCCAGTGAATGACCCATCGCCGCCGCAGACTGCGAAACCGTCAACCTTGCTGGAGGATCATCAGAATATCACTCATTCGTTCCCACCCTCGCACATTTTGGAAGATGGGCGTTTTGTTTACCTTCCTCCTGCTAATAAATTTGATAGATCCAAGTTTTTTGAACGTTCTATTGCCCGTCATGGCCTGTTGGCGAAGGATATGATGGGCAAAAAGAGTACGGCACTGGAGCAGCAAAAAGAGGAAGAAAAGAAAAAGAAGGAGGAAGAGGAGGACAAGACAGCACCCCAAGTACACCCCCTTGCTAAAGCTTCCGCTCGATTAAACGCCAATGGACTTGCAGAACTAAATCGAGTCATTAACTTGGCGACTTTAACAACTACCGGCGATTACTTTGGATTGACAACTGTTGTCGATCCGGCACTGGAAGCCGAAGCCAAGACTTCCGAAGGGAGCGCACCCAGTGCCGCCTTGGGTTCTGCTCATAGTACTGCTGTGAAGAGTACCTATATTCTCAAGAGAAAAAGGTCTCAATTTATGAAAGCTAGTCAAGTCATTGAACGTCATCAGAAACGCCTGAAAGCCTCCATTGTCGCTCAAAGAGTCATTGATCGGAGACTCTTTCAACTCCGACAACAGTGGCGATTGGTTGCTCCCGAGCATGGTACCCGAGCGCGGCTGCATGCAGCAAAGCCCACGGAAGTGGTGGCTATTGATGTTGACGTCTACGATCGGGACCGAGTGGGAGGAGGAAACAAGGCGTTGCTTGGAAAAGGACAGCAAAGTTTGGCCGGTCGATTGGCGAGTCGAGTTCCACGATTTGCTACTGTCGAGCTAAAAGATGATTACAAGGTTCCCGAGGAAGACCAAGAAGAAACAGACAATTCTCAAGCGGCATGGACCAGAGCGGAACCATTTGCGATTGCCGATCCTACCCTCGGCCGTGTCATGGAGAACTTCGACCCGTCTAAAGTTCCCATGTTGAATTTGCAACTAGAAATTCAAAAGGCATCCAGCGGATTTCTCCAATCATCCTGTCTAAAACCAATGACAACACTCTCTGCTGCCGAAGGGACGGACAACGTCTACGCCAAAGATGAGGAACTGCTTGTGACCCTTCAGCATTCCTTGTATTGCGCATCGCTTTTTGAGTCCATTCGAAAGGAGCTGGACCCTATCGAAAATGAAGGTCCACAGCAACTCTCGCTGCAATTGAAGAAGGCCGAAGCCCCTGCTTGGTTATCATGCGAGTCCGAAGAGAATTTCTTGCCTGCACCATCTCGTCTAGTCGGCGGGGATTTTGGACGAGGATTGGGATCACTGTCCATTGTACATTGTCACGAGGGGGAAGTCAAAGTACAACTGGACGCCGAGTATACTTTGTGTGTCAAGCTGGTAGAAGCCGACACAATGGATGAGGAAGATATGGATACCAAGACACAAACGAGCAACAGCGGAAGTCAGAGTCCAGCCCAACTACAGGCACTCTGCCGGGCATTGCTTCTCCACACCCAAAATGTCTATCACCAACATTCTTTATACCTAAGGGAGCGTGCGAAACGAAAACAGGAAGAAGAGGAGCGAAAAAAGGATGAACCAAAAGGTTTGGCACGAATCAAGAAGGAAGATATGCCAGACAGACCCAAGATTCTCGCCTCTTGTGTGAGTCTAGGCTCCAAAATGTTGTTTGAAAAGCGAATCGCAAAGGTGATAACAGTAAGTGCATGAAGAATAATCGAATTACATTTGCGTGTGGCTGGCATCTCACTCTCACGGCTTCTACCTCTTTCAGAGAGTATCCAAATGGTTAAAGAACCAATCACCAAAGCCAATGGCGGTCGATTGGCTCGGGTTATCCATCTTTGATCTGCAGTCCCATTTTACTATTTCCTTTGGTCGCATGGTCCTGGATGTCAGTATTGTGCGAGACAGCATGACTGTGACTGAGATTGATGACGACGTCCACAAAAAGGTGAAGTTTCATTCCGAGTTTGAGTTTGAGATCTTTCTCAAGATGCAACTGCAGCGAAATTTATAGGCACCAGCTGCATACTAGCAATGCCGAGACTTGACTAAACTCCTTGAGCCCACTTTATACTTCATCGTCACGTCACTGCCCTGTCTATGTACACCCTTGGTCTTGATATATTGAAAATGAGGTGATAGGTTCATTCATAATATCTCTTGCAACTGATGTACCACAAGAAAACACCACGCATGCGACAAGGTACTTTTTAGAACGGAATACACCTTCGTACTCGAAGTGGTGATGAATAGGTCACTCAATGTGATCGTTGTCTTTCTTCCGATTTTTCTTCTGTCTATTGTTCGCATATATATTTTATGTTTTTCGCGAGCTCGCGATCTGCGGTGTTTCGTGACTGCGCGACGATATGACTGATCGCGCCGAGAAATGTGTGATGACGACGCAAAATTCGACAGAATCTCATCGACCCTGTAATACTGGACAACAGGTCCTCTTATCGAGATGGCCACTGAAACTGCCGTTTACACACCAATCGACTACGCTCCTGCAAGAGTACAGGATGACGATGAGGTGTCGATCGCAAGTGAGTATTCCTTTGTAGATTGGAGAACGACAATTGACAAATGACGAATCTTGTTCGACTCTCAACCGAATCTTTATTGCTGACCCTCCATTTCTCTTTCCTATCACATTCTATCCATGCGCTCTTCTCTCCAGCCACTGCCCTAGCTAGTGAGGCTGGAACTACATTGGAAGCTCCAAGGGATGCTTTCTTACGCAGTGTCACCTTCATTATTGATGAAAACACTGAATGGGGCGTCACGCTTAAGGATCCTCCACAGAAAACAAAGGGCAGCCGGAAGCCCAGAATTGAAAGCATGTCAGGAGTTATCGCTGAATCCAAACTACAAGTTGGTGATAGGATAAAATCCGTGAATGGAAGAAAGATTGGGTTTTCTTATAATGCCTCGCGAGCCATGAAACTCATCGAAAGCAGCGCAGAACGTGATGGTCGGCTCTGTCTCGAAGTTGGAAATGAGTCCGGTGAGGATATTTTGGTTCAGGCAACTTTGATCAAGCCAAGACCAGAAATGACTTGTGCAGAATTGGGACTCACTGCTTGGCTTTGGGGATCACTTTGCATCCATAAAATTGAAAAGGAAAGCCTTTTTTCTAGCACCGTTTTGAAAGAAGCTGACGAAATCGTGTCAGTGAATGACATTGTTTGCTGGGGAAGCAAAGTTAACCCAGAAGCCTTCCACAGCATTATTGATCAACTCCCTCGTGAAGTCACGGTTATTGTGAGGCGTGGGAAGCAACGGTGGACTGGAAAGTTTGGATAGATTCGCGAGTGAGCCTCGGGGCCTACTGTACTTCTTGTTGTCATGGTGTCCATTCCTAATCATGTGCATAGTCTAATTGAATCACACTGAAGCATGTAGGAAAAAGTCTAATGTAGGGAAGAGTTATGGCAGAATGATACTGCCTGAATACGACGGCAGCGAAAAAATATGTAGCTCTCTATGTATTAGAATATCTGACTAGTTCCTCTCCCTGCTGAATATCCTTTGTTGCCACTAGGAAAACAGCAAATGAATGACCATGGTTATCATAGACAGGCGAATATTTTGGTCGCTTTCCATCAGGATGTGAGGGGACCCATTGTCCAACATTGGCTTCCTCTTCTGATGGGGCTGATCGAATCAATCTGGACGGTCCAATCTCAACTATTGATCCTTTAGCAGTGCAGGATGGTTCACCCAAACCATTCACCTCTTCGAGCACGCTTGGGTCAATAACCAAAGATTTGGATACATCGCTGGCCATAATGTACGAGCCCGCTGGGATAGCCACCCTCGCAACCACGCTCGACTGAACCGAATCTGGATTGGAATCGTCCACTTGGATCGAAAAGGCACTTTCTTCTTCGTTTTCGTTGTAGTCGAATATTTCTCGAGAAAAGTCCAAGTTTCGGTATTGGCATTCAAATGGGACGGGGTCTCGCCGGCAGTAGATTGTTTCGAACGCTTTCGGTGCCGCCTGCAAACCATGGTTCACGGCACCGTCAAAGTATTGGGGCACCATTTTACCGTCCTTTGCTCGTACGATCCGCGCCGCAATCTTGGAATCCACAACGTCCGGGCTAGCATAAAAGTTGTCTCGACAATTGGCATTCTTGCAAGCCAACAACCACACATTGGGCGCGACTTCGGCACCTTCGTCATTCAGAGAGAAATCATCATCGTACACAATGACTGCTTCGACGTCAGGTAGGGCCTCCAACACTTGCATCAGCTTGTCGTGATTCTTAAAGTATCCAAAGGATAGTCTCGGATGAAGAATGGTAGGTGCGATTCCAAGGTTTACACCAAGAACGCCATCACTGGACAGTGATTTTATAATGAATGCGGCCAAAGCCGACAGCGAATCTGCCCGTTCGGGTGTAAATGCATCCGCCAGCACGACATCAAACGCTGCATCAGTAGATTCCGACTTACTTTCACCATAGTGCACTGGAAACCAATCCCTGCCTGTTAATGACACGCGTGTGAATCATGTGAGACGATACCTGATGGAAAAAATACAGTACGAAATGAGAAGTGCCCAACACCACTTACCACCTTTCTTTATCCAGTGGACTAGTTCATCACTTAGACAGTCATCTGCAATACCATCAATCTTCGAACAATCATATGCATTGGGAACATGAGTCTTGATAATGTTCACGAGGTCCTCATCTGGTTGAAAAACAGTCACAGATTCAATGTCATGCCTGAGAATTTGCTGAAGACCCAAACCTTCATCTCCCACTGAGAAAAGAAAACCAGAGAAAGGGTTAGATTTTTCAAATCATATTTCATCCATCGAACAATGATTCCACAACTTGAATCTTACAGGAAGAGGAAAAGGCCACTCGTTTTGGATTGGGATGAGCAAACATGACAGGGTGAACGTCCAACTCGGCATCCAATGCTTCCTCCCGATCCGAGGAGGCGATGTAAAGTCCATTGACGAATACATCAAAGTCGTGTGGAGATAGTTCATTGGTCGTCCATCGTGGATCGCCAGGCTGCAAATTGTGCTTGAGAGTATTTTCATAGGTGACTCTTCCATCCGCACTCTTGGTTTGCCAAATATCCACCTGGTGATAATCTGTTTTGGTGCTAAAAACATGATTCTTCTCAGTGTATACTGCAGACGACATTGTCAACGTATTTTGGTTCTTTCGTGATTCGGGTTCACCCCGCTGATCAATGGTCCAAAGAGTCGTCACATCGTCACCAATCGCAAAGTGTTCCTTGATAATGGCCGCTGCCTCAATGAGAGACTTCTTGTCATCATGCACGGCCAAGTCAATAGAAATTACCCCGTTTTCCGGAAAGGAATGAATGGCACCTTGTCCTTGTTCCATGACCATCAGACAGGAATAACTCGATGTTTCTTCCAACAGATGACAACCACTGCTAATCAAATCCAAATCCAATGCTTTGGTGGACTTGGATATCGCTTCTTGTATGCGGTCTTCTGATTTCAGAAATTCTTTATCCACATTCTTCATATCATAAATCATGTGATGCACTGAAAAAGGCGTGGACGATGAAATGTCTGGTGTGGTATTCGTATTGATATTACTTGTCGTCGTGACGCCACCCGCAGAAGTCATGGCTCCCACTCCAAAACCAACCGACACGACAGCGATGACTGAAGCAAGCCAAAGTCGGACATCAATGCCCTCATCATTCAAACTCTCTTTCTTTGTCATTGCTAAGAAATGCTACAGTTCCTGGTTTACCGTTTTGCTGTCCTAATTATTAGTAAGCCACGACACTTTTGAATGGATACGAAAATTATTGCATCCAAATAAAGGCGCATTCACCTTTTCCATCTCTGCATCCACGTGCCACCAATAACAATCGGTACATATCGGATAAATGGGGTTTGCAAATCAGCTCACGACTACCAGCTTCTACGTACGTGTACATGTCGTCAGCTGGAACCAAATCCGGGCTATTTTCAACACACCGGACGGATCGTTTTGAGGTATTTCCCCCTCCATCCCATGTTTTTTAAATATTCCATCCCCCAAAATGCAGTCGGAGGGATCAGGGAAGACACGCGTTTCAAAGATATGAGAACTCGATCTTTTAGTTTTGATTCGCATCGAAGACTACGCACCGCAGGCTAATCACTCCATCCTATTATCATAGCTTCTGCTTCTCCATGTTCACTACATTCGTTCCGATGATATGGATCGTAGCCATGACCGTAGTGTTGTTTCAGAAACTCCCAAATCAAGACAGAGCTTCTCCCATTCAAGCTTTGGAAAACCTTAGTGATGTCTTTTCGTTGGACGGCCTCCAACACGCCAACAATTGTCAGAATCGTCATCAAGTTACCTCCTTGCATTCCATGGTATTCCTCTTTTATGCAGCATTCTTTTCAATTTTCATTTTTGGAGCCGCCCTTGTATTTTGGTTGGAGAATTCCTTTTTTCAAAAAGACTGGAGAAGACACAAAACGAGACGACTCGAGTACATTGAAAGCATGTTACAGCGACAGGTAAGACATGCGATACTCCGATTGTTTTCTTGTTTTGACATATCTCAATCAGAGTGGTCTTGTATCGTAGAAACTACAGTCTTCAATTGTTCCATCAGCGTCGAAGTGTTTTAGCTGTGATGATGGACCGAAACGAATCATTGACAAGTCATCGAGTATGACAGGTGGAGTCCAGCAACAACAACAACAACAGTTGAATGATAATGATGATGAAACTACCTCAGGCTGTTGCATATGTTTGGAGGATTTTTGCAATGGAGATAATCTTTGTCACTCGTCGGTTTGTCCCCATCTCTTTCATGTCAAGTGTATGAAACAATGGTTGCTGCGGCAGGATGCCTGTCCCTGTTGCCGTCAACCATACCTGGCATTAAAAGCATCATCCGATAATTTGGAAGATGATGATTCGAAAACGGATCCATCGTATGTAGTACCATTGGACGTATGCTGGAGCTTGGCGGAGGACTTACCACACTGGTTCATCATGACGAGCGAGTTGTGACCACAGGGACGATAGAAGGAATGAATCATCAATATTACAATGACAACGAGGGGGGCACCTTACACCTGACATTCAGTGGCAATTGTTTTGGGTACACAGAATGAATTTTGTGCGAGTCTCTGCGGAGGAGGACTTGTGGTGAGACAGTACTACTCGAATAGGATAAAAAAAGAAGCGACATGGTATCTGGTGTATGTATGATTGAAAGACGTCACATGGAAGCCAGATCTCGACAGAATACTCTCTCTATCTAGGAACCATTACAACTACGGAAAACGGAATTAATTTGAAACTGACGACCAAAGAATAATGAACAAAACCCTGAATCAATCATCACGGGTTTTGAAATCTGAAAATCTAGAAAACGAATGAATCAGCATATAATGGCACTTCTAATGCCTTCTGTGTAAGTTTTTGTAGACTCTTGAGCATGTCAACTGAGCAATCGCGACAGATACTGTATAGGTAGCATGCATGATCTTCAGAGCATTCATTCGACCACTTTGACTAATGTATTACGAGACTATGGTAGTCTATAGAGAAATCAAGACCATCACATCACAAACAACAATCGCAGACTATATGCGGAGTCGTGCATCCTTATCGTCACCAATGTCACCATCAGAGCCATCCTCAAAGTCATACACAACCTTTTCAGGCCACCAGAAGCAGCACGGAAATCTGTTTTCAAAACTGGCCGAACCATCCATGCCTGTCTTTCTTCTCGGAACAATGCCACCGAAGCAAGAAGATTCGTCCCTTAGCCACTGTATGGAATCGGCCGTGGAATTCGTGACTCGTTCCAGGGTCTTGGCGTACGATGGATTCTTGATACATTGTGTTGCTGATAATCACCAGAGTCAGGATGTCGAAGCAGCTGCGGCTATATCGGGCACAGAAGCAAATAAAACTGAGGAATGGGAAAATGTGGGCAACACTCGTCGATTCATGGACCCAGTCCAATACGCCAATTTGATTTGTAACATGGCCCGGAGTCACAACTGTACACAGGATTGTATCGTAACCAAAGTCATATCCGAAGCCGATCTCAGCGATAAGGTGGACAAGAGGATTGATTCAGTTTCTGCCCCAAGTGACCACAAGGCAATTCAGCTGGTGTCAGGAACTAAAATGAAAGGCGGCGACATCAAAAAGAGTGACAAGAAGAAATCGCCATTTGTAAGAGCTGTGAAAAATTTAAAAAGGAGAGAGCATTTCAAAGGACGTCGTGGTCGGCCTCCACTATACGGGGGCGTTGCCTTTGCCGAGAGACATATGTTGGATGCGACGGAACATCTCCACATGGTAGACCAACAAAAGGCAGGCGCTGAATGGTTCTTGACAATGCCAATATATGATCCCGAACCAATCCAGCGCCTCTTGAAGGACTATGCCACTGCTTGTGTCGCCAATGGTATAATTCCCAAAAAGGTAATCTTGACATTTGCTCCATTTTGTGATACTTCATCGCTGCAATTCATTCAAAGCTATTATGGCGTGACTGTCCCAGAAACCATTCAATCTCGAGTTCTATCAGCACCCAATCCAGAGAAAGAATCAGCGGATTGCTTGCGAGATGTCTTCGTGTCCATTTTGGAATCAAGTCAAGGGTTGGAACTTCCGTCTCTTGGCATTCACTGTCTCCAAATCGGCCATGATCCGTCTGATATGGATGTCACTCGAGATCTCTTCCTGAAACTTCAAGACGTCTTGTTAAGCTCCCAGGGCACACCATGGAGGATACAATGGTACGACCCATCAGCGAAACTGAAGAACAACGACGGCGATTCTGATGATGTACGACGTTGGAAATTGTTGTTCAAACAAGGAATATACGCCGCGTTTGTGGGTGGCGGTCTTGTTGCTTTTGGAGTCATGCTGGGGGCAACGGGTGATTTCATGTCGGTCAAGGTGACAGTCCATGGGAGGGATCTTGCACTCAGTAATCGGATCGGCAGCGAGTTCCAGTGAGAAATTCGTGATCCTCCCGGTAGTCATATAAGCAGTTAAAGCAGCATTCCCTATAGCCCTTCAATAGCACACACAATGGTTTCACTTGGATCTTTTTCTCTTGTTCGATTGATCCGGAGCATGGTGCACTGGTATGTTGGTCATTCTTTCGGTCGGCAAAAAGTCTTGATCCAGCAATTCGTCCGGAAGGCTTTCCAAAACACGCTTGAGGACATGAGCAGGCCCGCAGTTTCGCAACTTGGTATCTCGACTGAGTCGTTCTAATTCTTTTCGATAGAATTTGCTTTTGGGAAGCCCAAAAAACATTCCCAATATGGGCTTGAAAGACCGATCCATGACACGAGTAATAATCTTGGAGGGTTGCTTGTGTCGCTCCTCCAAAGATTGTACTGGCAATTGCTGATTTTCATTGTTGGTATGACAAATGGGACATTGTTTGGTGATGTGAAACGGCAATGGCTGTGATGCAAGTAAGATACGAGAGGTCACCATATCGTCTTGGTCGTCGCCACAACGAGGAGGATAGACCTTTTGCAAATAGGCCATGTACTGTTCCAAGACTTGTCTCCGATTTTGGCAGGGATTGCTGGATTCACCGTACCAATACCGATCGACGTCATGAAACATGGCAGGGTGCTCCATACAAGCTCGTCCCAGCATGCAGCCGACCAGATTCGTTGGGGCTTTCCCGATTGGTGGGACCGTGCAAGATCCATTACTGGCGACGTGATACATGGATCGATGCTCTTCATAATCCGATTGAGAAATTCCCTGGCAGATATCCTTGGCCGCCTGCAAACCAGAAATACCAGCATTCAAAACAAATTGGCAATCAGGAAACTCGGAGCACAGTTGATAAACTCGTGGATAATTCAATGGAGGAACAATCCGATTCTGAATCGGTGACAGGCCACCAATGACGACTTTACGAGCATGAATGTAGAACCGATGACATCCATGCTGCCTCAAGTTTCGAACAAAAGAAATTAAATGCTCTGTCGTATCCAAACAGACACCATCTGGTGTTTCACAACCCACTCGTGTCTTGACCGAGATTGGAATGGATTTTCGTTTTGTGGTCGGATGGGTGCTTGGTGTTGTAGAGGTAGTATCTTTGGCAATTTGGTCATCATGGTCCTCAGTTTCATGACCATTCCCTTCCCCTCCAGCATTACTCATTGTCGTTTGCTCTCCTTTCGCCATAGCTTGGACCATGGCATAGGCTGTATCCTTGTGAGGATCTGCCATGAGGATTGCTCCAAAACATCGTTTTCCCGACACTCGATTGCTAGGACAATCAATATTCAAGTTGATTTCGTCGTAACCAAACCTTTCATGAATCATTTGGCTTGCCTTGACTGCGTATTCGGGTGTACGCCCTCCAATTTGACAAACAATGGGATGGAGTTCTGGAGTGGCCAATTCCAAGTGTTGGTCAACATTGTCCGTAAATACCAAGGTTTCATCGACGTGCATGGCTGTCCACAAAATGACTCGTTTGGACAAGATTCGAAATAGATGATGAAATTCAGGAGTGGAGACATCAATCATTCTGAATGAAAAAGACGACGATGAGGTTGAGTGTGAGAAACCATGCAGTACTGACAATACAACACAATAACTACGGAGATGAACGTACGGCGCAATATGAAGCTCCTTGACATTTTCACGATGCGACATTATAGCGACTTTATCCTCTAAGCAGTCATTAAAGGCATTCCAATTGGGTTTTATAGCTAATCGTTTCTACTGTCATCTTTCTTGGCTATGATGTATGGTACCGGTATGCATATGGTTGGTCGTCATCGTCAACTTGGCAAATGGTCGACTGAGTCGTCTGCAATTCCGCAAGCAAAATAAATTCTACCGGTACCTGTAGAGGACTGCAACTTTCAACTTTGTGGCTGATACAATGGCAGAGTCATGATTCCTGAAGTTCATTTTGAATTTGGTGAAATCTAGTATTCACTATTGAAAACTTTTAAAACATGCTATCATTTCAGATTGGGTCTTATAAGTTATCGCAATACTATTGCTAGCTAGCTAGCGCTAACGTCTCAGCATCCTGATAGGAGCATTTGGAGTGTGCCATGATATCGTCCGGCAGGTCTGAGACGAGCGGTATCTTGGACTGCAATTGTTCAATCATTTGTAATCGCATTGGATCAGTGGTACCCTCCGTCTTCCAAGATCTCACATCAGATGGCAATTTCAATTTCTGCAGCTGATCCCATGCCGATTCCCTCCATTCAATATCCCGATGGATCATCTTGCTTCCAAAATGTACCAACAGACGGCAATCTCGTACTCGTAGCAAGTCATTGTCAATACGAACGTATAGTTTCGTCAAGACGTAGACACACGATGGCATGACCCGCATCTTGGCAGTGTATTGCATCAGTCCATAATCGTGAAGATCATCCTCCATCATGACAATTTGATCAAAGTATAGTATGGGAACACTACGGTCCAAGAGTAGTTCTTTTGGCATTTCCGATTGCTCAAGCTTTTTCCACGACAATTGGCCTACCGTATTTCCACAAAAGGGACTGCTAAAGGTCCAATCGTAATGAAATTGGGTGGTCTGAATCAGTTGCCCGTCGACTGCTTGCATTGGTTTGTTGTTCCTCGTTTTCTTCCACAAGTCGGCATCTGTGGATTGAAGAATTTGGACACCACGATGCGAGACTTCTGAATTATTCAGGGGTATCTTTTGATGAGCTTGACTCCATTCGGTCAGGGCACCCATGGCATTCCAGGATATTTGAAAGGTGTCGGACATTTGGATCGTAATGTAAGCCTTTGGAAATAACATTTCGGGAAGAGAAAGTTTCCGAGGTGTTTCATTACAAGATTCTTCATGTTGACAGCTTGCTTCTAGTGTCTCAGTGGCTTGGTCGAACCACGCGTGACCTCCAATCGGTCCCTGACTCGTGGAAATGTTGACGTTGGCAATGGAAATACCTGCTGTTTCACCTATTGGATTGCGTAAAGCCTTGGCTTGGAAGCGTTCCAGAACATGAGGTTCAGCGATGTGTCGTCTTTGAGATGGAATGTTCCCATTATCTTTCTCCCAAATCGCTGCATCTACTTTTCCCTCGTCCATTATTGTCTTCGACGCTTTTCATGTCACACTACCTGCATGCATGTAAGTTCTCAAACTTTAGTCATGCGATGATGGAAATCCATTGTGAGATCTGATTGGATGAATCGGACGATGGAAAGACCTGAACACGTCATCGGAGAATTTCAAATTTTCCACTTTGTTCCAACCGCTTTGTGCAGAAAGGCTGATGTTTTGTTTTTACTGTACATTGTCTGGAAAGTCGTCATCTCGTCAGGAATGATTCATAAATTTGATTTCAAACCCAAATGAGAGAGTACCGTCGTCAAGCACAACTGTTTCTTTCTGCACTCCTTCTATCTTCTGCATCCCCTTTGGACACTACCTGCCCCAATACAGCAAGCACCACCCCCAGAACTACAGTCATGCCACAACACCGTTCCGTCAAACGGGTCATGCTCAAACCCTACAAACATTGGGTCGGAGATGGTTTCAACGTCTACCCAGTCTTTGCCGATTTGGCCTTCAAAGATGAATTGAGTCCCTTGCTCATGTTCGATTACGCCGAGCCAAAGCAATTTGGAAGCAAATTGGGTCAACCACGTGGAGTTGGTCAACATCCTCACCGAGGCTTTGAGACTGTCACCATTGCCTTTCAAGGCGAGGTCGAACACAGGGACAACAAGGGAAACAAGGGTATTATTGGTCCTGGAGATGGTAAGTCTTATACTCTTTATATTGGAAATATTGTATTACCGCTATACAGTAGGTGAAAAACAGAAACTCATATTCCTGACTTTTTCTTTCTCAGTCCAATGGATGACGGCCGGAAGAGGCATTGTGCATGAAGAATACCATTCCCCTAAATTTACCAAGGAAGGTGGAACCTTTGAAATGTGTCAATTGTGGGTGAACCTTCCAAAGAAGCACAAAATGACCAAGCCTCGTTATCAACCCATTCTCAATGAGCAAATCCCCAGCGTTCCATTGCCCCTGGGAGCCCCCGAAGAGGAACAACTTGGTCATGTCCGATTGATTGCCGGAGACTTTGCAGATGCCAAGGGAAAGGCCAAGACCTATTCTCCCGTCAACATGTGGGACGTGATTTTGCCCCACGCTGGAGCCGAAGTGGAGATCCCGTACCCGTCGGACCACAACTGCATCGTCTTTGTTCGTCGGGGAGGTGTCGAAATTATGAGCGGCGAAGAGGGCAAGGGTAAGACTTCCAAACTTGGACCACAGGACGTTGCCTTGATGCACCTTGATGGAAGTGATAGTCTCAAGGTCCGTGTGGATCGACCAGACACGTCGATCATGATCTTGGGAGGAGAACCACTGAACGAACCCATCGCGGCCCAAGGTCCATTCGTCATGAACACATTTGATGAGATCCGCAAAGCCATGACTGACTACCGCGCTGGAAAGTTCTAAAACAAGAAATTTTGTTTCATTTTCCAACAGCATGGTAAACAGTATTATAGTACATTAGCATTATTTTGATCACCCAGGATTCTTCAGCAAACGCTTGGCATTCGTCGTCAACAAAGCTCTTTCATACAGTACCGGTATGGTAGTGTCAAAACTGTGGATATCATGGGAAAACGTCATCCCCGTAATAATCAGATTCCCCTTCTTTGGCCCCGATTTTTGAAAATGTTTGACCGCGATAATGCTTTTGTCACATATACCTACCTATATATACTCTGTAAGACATGCACACAATAAGCTAGGGTATCCTCGTCTTGTTGGACATGACATCAATTGGGAGACAGACTTGCTATTTTGTTCTCTGTCTCCTTGTCCTCCTCTCTGTCCTTCTGAATGCTCGCATCTTTCTTTCTGGAACTAGTTTGCTAGAAGAAGGAGCGCCGCCAACGACTCTCGACTCGAGTTTATTGGCAGTTTGGTCGTCGTCCAACACTCCAAACAACACAAATGATGCGACGATTGCCGAGGAACTATCACCCTCTAGTAGCAATGTGAAAGAGGCAACTAACAGAAATACTAGAGACAGATCACTGATTTGGAAAGATGGTTGTCAAGTGTGGGACGATGAAATAAAGTCAATGTCGAGGATGAGGCCCAATAATGATTCCACTGCTACCATGAGCATCAATACCAAGCCACCCACGGGGATTGCTGTGACATTGGCCAAGCGAAAGAACAAACGGGGAAAAGATTTGTTGAATCTGCTGTGTCAAAAGATTCCGACGCAACAGGCCTACTTTTACGAGCCCCAAAACATTGATCTCTTGATTTTGATTGAAATTGAAAGCATTACCTATCAACAAGTGGCCGACTGTCTAAAACTGCAAGAGGTATCGAAAGGGCCCCTCAAGTGGCTCAATTTGGATGGATCCACATTGACAACCTATGAATATCGCAGCAGCAAAAAGGCTAGTCGTGATGGTGGCAATCCTAAAGTCTACTTGGCACCATTTGAAATGCAATATCCAGAGTACATTCAGCAGAATGCAAGTCGACTGACCGAGAAAATGGAAGGATGCGATCGTGGAACCGACTTTGAAGATTATGTGCAAGGAACAAGGTACTATTCCAATGATGTCCTGCAGCTAAAAATATTGAAAGGCTACGACTATCTCCTCAAGGTGGATCTGGACATTGAGTTTAAAGGAGACCAACTCTTCCCCTTCCACTTGTTGCACGACATGAGACTGAGGGGTGCCATCTTTGGCCATTCGGGTGAGTTTCTACCAAAAGGGTTTGGTGGATGCACCAAGAATATCAATCACGTTGTGGATAGCTTTGTGGAAATGGCGTCCATGGTCAATGTCACTACTGGTGACGACGACAACGACAAGCCTACCTGGGCTCGCCAATCCAACTGGAAGAGACCCTGTTCGGCAGGGGTCGAGGAGTTTGATCGGGGCAAAGATCAATATTACACCAATTTGGTGGTCATGTCTGTGGATTTCTTTCAGAGTGAACATGTCCGTGCCTACGGAAAGTGGATGAATGAGTATTATCCAGGCTTTTTTCGATATGGCTGGACCGATCAACTATTCTTTCATAAAGCAATGGGGTTATTCCTTGGACCAGAGTACGTACTGTACTGCATGCACACAATGCTATTGTGACCGTCGCTTTCTGCCTGATGGAACTCTCTCACACTATCGTTACATTGCTTTGAGTATCAGCTTTCGAGAGTACGTTGCAGACTATACAGACTTTCGCTGCAAAAAGTTTGCCACGTGTTGGTTCCCTTGGGCTGGCATGGGCAAGAAAACAAAGACGACGCCCTCTCACTTTTGTGCCGCTGGTGGCATCTTCCATCACGGAAAAGCGCGATCTGTATTCGGACCTTTCAATGGGAGGTTTCCTAACGTTTCGACTCCATTGGCTGCGAGACCATATGTCAGTCAATACCAACATGATTGCAGCAATATATGACATGAATCATCATGATGCCTTGATGCTGCAAATGTTCTGCTATATGATGATGTGAAGAAATAAGAATGACAAAGTGCAGTCGAAGCCGAACACGAAACTCTAGGAGAGACAAAACCATGATTCAACATAAATTTTCAGAATTATAGCTTCAGTGGTGAGCTACTAAAATTGCTAGAGCAAAACGATTGGCTGAAGGCTCGAAATGCGACAGGCAGGAGAGTTGCAATCGACCATGCGGCTGATTACTCCGAGATTGTCATTTTTTTCACCATGGCAGTGAAGGGACATCCAGCGTTGGACTTCCAGTTACCATTGACTTCCGCAGGTTTCTTTTCCCCGCGCAAGACATTGATGAATTGTTCGGCATTGTAGTAGATGTCGACATCCATCAACTGCAACTTGTCGTTGACGACGGCAGTTCCAAAACCAAACATCTCCACCAGCTGGCCTTCTCCTTTGTTGCCATCGTATTCACCAGTGAAAGTACCCCAGTGTCTCCAAGTGAATGCAACCTTTGGAGGTCCAGAGAAAACTTCCAAAACTTCCCATGGGAACGCAGCAAAAGCAGCATGGAACTTGTCGTGAGACTGCTCCCAGGTGGTGTTTTGGGCATCGTACAAATTGGCGGGACACGCATTCATCAAAACATTGTAGTTGCCAACTTGATTTGCTTCGACATTGTCGAAGACCTTGCCTCCGTTTGCGGATATGCGAAACTTCTCTTGGTCGACGGATTGGTGTGCCTTGTAGTCGAGCTTGTGCGATCGTTCCATTTCCCACTATGGAACAAATGGCCGAAGAGGAGAAGAAGAGTGAGAAGTCATCGATGATAGAATTGAGCACGAACTAAATTCTAACTTACAGTTTTCACCAAGTTTTCCACAATCTGCTCCAAACTGCCGTCGGCATGATTGGTGGAGCGTTGCTTGAGGTACATCAAGTTGGTGACGGAGTAATCTGGCTTGCCACCGAAGCGCCATTTGATCTCGTGGTCGTCCATGAAACTTCGGACAGGTTCTTTCAAACCGTATGTCTTCTTGATTTCTTCAAGTTCAACTTTGACTGCCTCTAACTCTTCCTTGGTCAAGGCCGCACCGGAACCTGTGACCACCAATGGTCCTTGCATGTGGGTCTGGGCGAGGGAAGGAACTGCAGGAGTCTATGGACAAGACAAGGAATGGGTGAGGAATCGAAGGGAGTGCTTGGCTTGAAGCAAGAACAACAACTGATTGGCATACCATATTGTCGCAATGATCTTTCTCGAATGGCTTTTGTGGCAAAACCAAATTCATCGGCATTTGAAAAGATCGCACTTTTCGATGTGAAAACGTACTCGTATGTACAGTATGAAGCTTTTGGCTTCAAGATTGAAAGATTTGATGCGTGAGTATATATATGCAGTTGTGACTGGTATTTAGAAGACGCGATAATTGCGAAGAGTCTTGTTTTTTGACGTTCTACCGGACATATATATTATAATTCTTCTGTTTTATTATCATCGGAAAAAATTTAAATAAATACGTGCACTACGTCAGAAGCCTTTGTTCGCAGTTTGTACAATATCCTTCAGAAACAAGATCATGCAGAATTCTGCGACCGGTCCCATGTGAACGACCAACAGTATCCAACCATCATCACCAGCCGTTGGAGTGGTACCTGGTACCCCTGGCACGTACCTTCTACCAGGTACCAAGTAGGTAACAATGACAAACGAGAATGAGAAGGGAAATGAGAAATACACGACGTTGCGGTGAGTTTTTACAAACGATAAATCCATGTTATCGTTGCGGCTGGTGTGGAGCGGCCTCTTCAGATGAGCAGAGTGAGTATCAGGTCCCTGGTACTTGTGCCTTTTGTAATGCTATATTTCTTGCACGGCTTGGGGGTGCCATCTCTGAGTATTACTGCTGTATTCGGATACGGCGGTACACCAGGTACATCAAAGAAGTGACTATACAAAAAATAGAATGTCCACATCTTTTGCATATACTAGCCCTGAGATTCGCTTCTTGGAGTGCAAATGAATCTCGAGTGCTGCAGCACCAAGGTAACAACAGCTGAGACAGTTGAGAAAATGCTGTTTTTTAAAAAAATTTAAAAAACGATACAGTAGCCATCAAGCACCATGAAAATATGCACATGAAAAAAGCCAAAGCCACCGCGCGTGCAAATCCGTGAACCATCACACACGACTCTCTAACAATTTGAACGGAAGACAAAGCATGACACACATGTTGACATGTATAGTAGTGCACTGCGGGATATATATTGCAGCAATTCAATCATTCTCTCTCATCTCTTATCCATCAAATGACCATGAACTCTCCACATGAGTCCGAGAGAATAGTTACAAGCACCAGGCTGGAGAGAACGCCTCCAATGGTTATGGCTCAGCATGTTCCTCAAGGCTTTGTGGATTCTGAATGTCCCAGCAATCAAGAGGTTGTCATACCAACAGAATCATCCTCTTGGCAACAGGATAATGAGAGGCTAGGAGGACTATGTTGTGGACGTTGGTGTGACTATCGTCGGGCGACCATTGCTGCCGTTGCGGTAGAAGCCGTGACGAGCCTACTATGGATTATGGCATTTTATGTGGACTCGTTCAATTTGATTTACACTTCCGACGTCACGGACAAAGGCATACTGCACATTATCAATGACAGCAATCATCTTCATGCTGTTGTGAATGGCATCACGGTGATGTCAAGTTTCTTAGCATTCGTTGGGGCGCTTCAATTCAAGATTTCAGCAATCTCCTGGAACATTGCCTGGATCATGTTGAGTTTTACCGCTGGAATCCTTATTCGAATCCGAACGACAAACAACTTGAACCTCTACAATCCGTCTCATGAATATACCACCAATTGGTTTATAATCATAGTGACGGCGGTCTTAAGTGCCCTCTTCATGTACCCACAAATTGCATTTATCCACGAAGTCAAAACAGGAGTTTTGAATCAACATACATATAGCAGGGAGTCATACTCCTGCTGTTGCCGCGCAGAACGAAAGTACTAATGGCAAATACCATTCCAAACAATAAATAAATGTAAACTAGTTAGAATAACTGGCGGCTTCCTACAACGACAATATTACCATGTACAAACTTTAAAAGAAATCGCCAACCATTCCGAGGATGCCGTCAATGTCACAACAGGCAAGACATAGAAAAAGACCCGCCATCATTGCTGGATCACCCAACATGCCCATATCGAAGCCATTGTTTGCGTGCATCTTGGTATCTGTGGCATTCATTTCATATGGAAGGTCCAAGGCTGTTCCACTGTGACAACAGTCCATCAATACCGTAACGTGGACGTCCTTCTTCATGGGCTTTACCAGAGTGGCAAATACCTCGTCGTCCACAATTTGGCCAGCCCGCTTAAAGTCGACCGGGATAAGTGTTTCGTCAAACCCGTCTTCCTCATCTCCTGTGGGATGCAACAAATGCAAATGTGGGTCAGACACATGATTGATTCATTCGTTCAACTCGTCGCATCCTAGAACAAACTTACCGCTGGTATCTTCGACGCGTCCTCCGTGACCAGAGTAGTGAACAAACACAACATCACCGGCTTCGCTGTATTGCGTGATGCGGGTGAAAGCATCCATAATGTTTTTACGGGTTGGTTCATTGTGCTGGCCATCGTCCATCAAAATCAACATGTCTTGTTCTTGAAAGCCTTGCTTCTCGATGAGGTATCTTTTAATGTTCTTCACGTCATTGTGGCATCCACTGAGTTCTCCTTGCTGACCAACGTAGTTGATTCCAATCAAAATGGCTCGCTTTTTATTTGGAGCGGAATCTGGTGGGACAATTTGAAATTGCGAGTTGGCATCCAAGAGTCGACTAGCCGAGAGTTGAGGAATCTAAAGCGGAAAATGACGAAGAATAGCAAGTGTGAATCGCAAGTATGGCATAAGCAAAAAGACGTTCGAGCATATGTGTCAAGTGGAGATTTCCAGCAAAATGACAATTGAGAAATGTTGTCGTGACCTGATGTGTCCTCCTGAAACAGTCTTTTGTTACGCTACGCACCTGATCAAAACCCTTTGACCTCAACACGTCTCGCATTCGATGCAAAAGATCCAACCAACTCATTGGGCCGGGATATTCGTTGATAACTTTCAAGAGAGTAGAGGTACAAGCACCTCCTGCCTTTCCTGCAGTCTGCGGCAAATCAAAGGTTCCAACATTGAACACATCTGCTGACGTTTGCTTGTCTTCCGAACCGGAGATCATAACAAAGGTGGCAGGAATTCCTGCAGCAACTTTATCTGGATCCATGGTTATATATCAAGTAGCCGATCGTCTATATGAGCGAGAGACTAGAGGACAGAGCTCTCAGATGCGCTGTCTTTGGCCTTGTTATTGTTTCGTTCGATCGTTCGTTTCCAATCAATCGTTGCAAAAGTCATTTTTCGACTCAACCGACTTCACGAGCGTTGGAGTGAGAAAAAGGTGCACGATCTCATCACATCTCTCGCGGCACAGAAAACGCCATCATCTTTAGGGAAGTTTGATTGATACGTGTTACGATACTGAAGCCTCTGTCAAAGTCAGAATACAGCAGAAAGCGCATCTTACAATGAAACATCATCATCAACAGCATCCTCGTGGCCGTGCACTTCTTCGCACTCGTTCAAGAGGTGGCGATGAAGGCCGGTACCTTCAAGGAGAAGGCAATAACAACAAGAACAATAATCAAGATGATGCCCCACTCCCGACTCCTCCGCCTACCTTATTTGCACCCACAATGGCACCAACAAAATCGGCAACCGTTACAAATCGCCTGTTTCAAGGATCTTTATCCTTGGAATGGAGTTTGCTCTTGCTGACAAATGATGATGACGACGACGTGGGCGAAGGATCGGCTTCTTCCATGATCAGCAACGGGGTGGATGAGTTGAAGAATTGGATTGCTACAGATTTTCTATGCAGGCAAGACTCTATTTGGTTGACGACCGACATGAAGGACCTCGATAGCGATTGTCAGGCAACATTGAGGAGGCGCACCCAAGAAGATGCTTCAGTACCGCCCACTACTACCTCAGGGCAACCCTTTTATCCCTACCGAACGATACTATGGAATGATCCGAAAGTACTAGAGAGTCGAGAAACTTTGGCAGCAACAAACGCCGAATACACAGTTTGGACCATCGAGTACCCAGTTTATTCCTATGCCAATTTTTCCAACGAGAAGGAAAAAGCAGAAGGAAAACTTCAAGAACGCTTGAATCAAAGAATCGAAAACGGAAACATGGCGTGGGAAGATGGCATTCTGGCCGTGGTAGGGAATGAGATGGAAGTGTTTCTGCCCACCAGCGGCAACCACTATTGGCGCGGCAATGACCACTTCATGCTTGATTTGGGCCCCATCATGATTACTCCGCTTCAAGCCATCGGAGCTGTAATTATTCTCCTGCAGACCATTGGGCTGATTATTTTGCACATCTTTGTCAAGCCAGTTTTGGCTGATAAAGTCCGCAAAAAGAAGCTAGAGAAACAGCAACTGCTTGTATATGTTCCAACCAAACAATACAGCATTGGATCCCAGCAGCTGCAAAGAAGTTCGTCAGGGCGTTCCCACAGAAGTCAGTCAAGCCGTACGCAAAGCTACACAAAGAGAGACTTCATACCGAACAATATAGCAATCCTCGAAGGAAAAGAGAGAAGTTCAGTGTGTTCCAGCACTGGTGGATACCCTGTCCCATACTAGAAATGCATTCATCTACCGAGTCGAGTCGAAGTCTATGTCGAAAAGCAACTCTTCTCAAAGCCGACAAAGACCGGATTCAATGCCATGCAGTATATATTGTTATGTGATGAGAGTATACAGTACTTAGGATTGGGCGAAAATAAACTGTAGATAACATACCTAGCAATAGTAGGGGGACTAGCGTCCATTGATCGCAACTTGAATTCAAGAAAGGAGAAAATTTTGCGTTGTGATAGCCATTGTCAAAACTGATGCAGCCTAGCTAGGAAAAGATGACGGACGAAACGATGTTTGTTCAAATGAGAAACTGTTTTCATGCTAGCTTAATTGATTATGACCTCCAGAACCAACCACTAATACATCCACCACTAGAGAGTCACAATAATACTGTCACTGGTGGCTGCTAATCAAATTTATGAAGTATTCTTGTCCTGCACTTCTCAAACCAAGTGTCCATACCACCCAGTTTGTTGTTTACTACCTCCTCCATTACACGATTAAGAGGTATGCTTTCCACGTTCAATGCGGTTTGGGAACAAGTCGCATGCAAACTTGAGACGAAAATGTCAGACGAATCACCATAGATGGACTTCAACCGAACGAGAAAATCGCGATGCGAGCGTTCGCCTCGGTAGTCTGGTCTCTTTTTTGGAAGCATTAAATATTGCATATGGGAATCTTCATAGTCCCATAGGAAGCTGGTATGGTGTAACCATCCATCCTTTACAATAGACTGCGCGTTTCCTCCCATTTTGAGATCTCCGAGAACGTAGTCATTTTCCCGCAATCGAAACTGGGGCCCCGAAACATCTGAATCCAATTTTTGCATAGTCTTCTCTCCAAGGTTACCAAAACCAGATGGGGATGTCTCATTCTCGTCCACCAGTATAGGAGAAAGTCGTGCATTGTTAAGTTTATTGAACGCAGGTCCAAATAGTCTGTCGGCGGTCCATTTCATGATCGACCTAGGAAACGGTTCAACACCATGCGGCAAAAAATCTTCATTTCTCCCAATGAATGTTGTCCAAATTGAGTTCGAGTCCAGAACTACAGTCCCCCCTCCTGAAAATCTTTTCGTAACCAAGACTTTCTTGCTCTTTACTAGTGGAATATTGAGCAATTCGGATGGCTTACCGCCAACTCCCATTACGACTATGCAGTCAGGGTTTGGTACTGGAGAAGCATAGCTCGGCAAGTCCTTTTTTGTAAGATACTTGTGGTCCAAGGGTTGATGTGAGCCTACAAGGAACCAATTCCGATGGTCATGTCGCAGCAACGCTTCCTCCAAGGATAGGCGCTCCAAAGCAGAGATACCTGAGGATCGTAAATCCAACCAGAAGAGTTTTGAAATTTTCATCGATGGTACAGAAGGTGTTGCTCAACAAGTCTCAAAGGTATTGTACAGTATAGTATACCTCTATCTTTCAGCGGTACACCTTATATTGTTTTATTAGGCAGGTATTCCATACGTGGGTGATGAATATTTGAAAATCATCATCGTACAGTATTTTTCCTCGGCACAAAAACTGCCAGCATTTCCGAATCACTCGAATGAAAAATGACAATGCCTCGAAATTCAAAATGCATGACGTAACGTTACGAAGAATTCGAAACTGATCGATGACGATCTCGTCACATCTCTATCGTCATCTATTTCAGGTGATTTTCACAATCAAATTTTTTTAAAAAAGCATATCATATCATAAAAACGCGAAGACAATCAAGAAGCGTCAGCATAATGGGCTTGGAAGAAGACCATGTCATCAGCGATCAACGGTATCATGGCCACTTTGAATGTGTGATCTGCCAGAGCATTGTCGATCTTGATTGCCTTGTGACGACCACCTGTTCCCACGCATTCTGTCGACAATGCTTGAAGTTTTGGCTGGAGACTGACAAGACAACCTGCCCAACCTGCAGCAGAGATTTGCTTTACAGCAGCAATGCGACTTCATCATCACATGATTCGAAATCTTACATGATGATTGGATGCAAGAGCGTAATGGTGCAGCCCCTGTCAAAGGACCAACCATTGGCCTATCGATTATTGAAGAGTATCAATGTCAAATGCCCCTTGCGAAAAACACTGGGATGTACGTGGTCTGGAGACTATGGCGACCTTCAGAACCATTTGCTCAGCGCTGATCATGATGCTTTGGAACAGCAGTCGCCGTCCTCGCCTGCTCAACAAACGCCCGATTCAGAGTCGCCAGTACAAATGGATGCAGAAGAAAATAAAGCACAGGAACAAAAGAGACAGCTTGAGAAAAAAATCTCCTTGGCCTCATCGCTCAAAGAAGAGGCTAATGGACAATTTGGAACACAGCATTATCGAGAGGCCACTTCGTTGTATTCCAAGGCTATATCGGTTTTGAGTCCCTTCGAGTCTGAATCGAAAGAAGATACAGGAAAAGGATCACCCAAGACCACTTCAACAGATCTCATTGCGCTCTTGACCACGCTGTATTCCAATCGAGCAGCTGCATATTTGCAACTACAAGAATACCACAAATCCTTGGAAGATTGCGATCATATACTCAAAAAGTTGGACTCTACCAATGTCAAGGTATTTGTTCGAGCTTGTCGAGCGGCAATTCAATTAGGTCAGCTCGACTTGGCACAAAAGTATGTCCAACAAGGATTGAGCCAAAAGACACAAAACCCAGTCCTTCAGAAAGAACAACGCCGCTTGGCGCAAATGACGCAATGGACCGCCATGGGGACCAAACAACTATCCAGTCAGCAGTATGCAACTGCCAAATCTTGCTATTCCAATTTGATCAAGGAGGCACCAGCTGCAATTCCCTTTTTGTTGGGTGCCGCCCAAGCCGATTTGGGTTTGGGATTGACGGATTCGGCCTTGAGGTTGACGAAACGAGTGCTCACGCAACACGCCCAAAATCCCCAAGGATGTTGGGTCCGTGGACAAGCAGTCTTTTTGATGGGCGACTTGAAAGTGGGTCTCAAACTCTTGCAAGAAGCGCTTCGATTGGACCCCGATTCGGCGGAAATTAAAAACTCCTTCAAGGCAGCCAAGAAGGTAGAGCAAAGCATTGAAGGAGCCAAGAAGAAGATGTTTTCGCGAAACTTTCAAGAGGCAGTTGACCTACTGACTTCTTGTGTAGATATCTACAAGCCTCTCCCGCCCAAATCTCCCTTGTATGCCAACTTGCTCACCCAACGTGCCCAAGCCTATCTGCGATTGAAAGAATACAAGAACTGCCTGAAGGACTGCTCCTTGGTCCTGTATGCGCAAGAGTACAATATTCCAACATGGCTGATCCGATTCCAAGCCCATCACGGACTAGAGGACCATGAAACGGCCATGGAAGAGATCAAAGATTTGCTTCGAAGGCTTCCACAAGAAGAACAATTGCAAAAGGCATACGTCAAGGCCGACTTTTTACTGCGCAAGCAGAAACGGGTTGACTTTTACGAACTGCTGGGTGTCTCTTCGCTTGCGAGTGAAATGGAAATCAAAAAGGCATACAAACGAAAAGCTCTGGAGCTACATCCTGATAAGCTGCCGCCAGGATCATCAGAAGAAGTTCAAAAGAAGGGTCAACAACAATTCCAATTGCTGGGGGAAGGATTGGAGATTTTGTGCGACGATTTCATGAGAAAGCTGTACGACGAAGGCTACGATCCGGAAGCAATTCGAGAGAGGGTGGAAGCAGCGAAACAGGCAGCCCATCAACACCGAGGTTACAATCCTCACCATCACTATTAAATATATGGTTTGTAATACTGGATCCAAGTCGAGTAAACATTTTCCATGACTTTGGCCATCTTGTAACTTCATTGCATGGACACGTCTTGGCCAGTTTTAAATGCTTGGCACCCCACCCATTGTTCCTACGAGTTTCTTCTTCCAGTCTCATTTTTTGTGATAAGTTAACGCTCCGGTTATCGTTTGTTGAACAAGCCAGAGTGGCGCAAAAAATTGCTTCTTGGTAGCGCCTTCTTGAGACGATTCCACTGGCACTATTCCTTCCATTTCCATTACGTCTGCAAACCGGTGCCAGAAAGAAATGTACTGTTTCCTCGCAACAGCCAGAGAATCGCATCGAATCCATCCCATGCGTCCTCTGGCTTTCCCCACACACTGCGTCGCCTGTTGCCGTTGTATTTGTTACTCGAGCCAGAATGTTAGGAAAGAGCTCGAGCGGCGGTTCGGTTTGGTTCTGTCGGAAATACTTCCGAGCTGCTCGATTCATCGACGTTGCATATGCCACTTTTGGGTGGCTGAGCGACGCACCACCAGCAGAGAATTCTGTTTCAACCCGTTCCAAGCTTGTATTTTGCGCTACGTATTCAGTAAATTCTTTGCAAGCGCCCATGATGTCGCAGAAAAGAGAACGCCCAGGAAACTCAAGATTCCTCAGTGCTTTCATTTGGGGCAATTTCCTTGCGAACCTTAGAGTGTCGGGCAAGGAAATTGGGTTGTCCGCGAGAATCAATGTCTCGAGAGTGCAATTGTCCCCGATAAGCAAGCAATCTAATGGCTGCAAGTCGCCTATCTGATTGAGACTGAGATCCAATGATATGAGATTCTCGAACCTTGATAGCCTACCTTCCAACAATGGGCTCTCTATCGCCATTCTTTGTAGCTGTAGATCTTTTAATGATCTATTCGGGCCTTCAAGATTCACAATACGGATTTCTGAAAGGGCTGTAAGGTCAAGAACTGTTTCGCTTCTGTATTGAACTCTCGCATACTCGCGTGAAGTTACATCATATTGCTCGCGCAGTGCGAGGCATTCCAGCTTACAATCATGCCTTGAGAGCCAGTCCCGAATGTGATCGTGTATTATCGGTGATAAGCGGTTCGAAGTGAAGATCTCGAGACGGGTTAGCTTGGAGTGATTATAGAGCGATGCCAAAAGTCTTGGTAGAGTATCACGTTGTATGCGACAGAAAGACAAATTAAGGCATTCGAGCGTGTCATTGTCCTGCAAACCTGCAATGAGAGCTTCTGTTATTCTTGAAGACTGTAAATTGATGTTCCTGAGAGAAAGGAATTCCAAATCTTTCGCTAGCGACAAACCTTCAGCAAAGATGGCCATTTGTTCTTCCAGGAAAGGTCCCGAATGTTCAAGGGTGATGCGTCTTAGCTCATTCCTAGAGGCCATGCCATCATACAAAGAAGAGAATGATGGAACATCTAACATGCAGTTGTTGAGGTGAAGCATGTTCGTTTTGTTAAAAGTTGCCTCCAGCAATGTCAAGAGAGCCGTGGGCGATACAGCATATTGACATTCCAAATGGATGCAATTCCACTTCCTTTCACAGTTCAAGAAAAGATCCAGGAGCCTCCGGTATTTGAGATCATCCGGATCCATGCTTCCGCTGATCCATATTTCTTTGCAATACTCTGGGACGCTCCACTTCGGATTACGAACGTTCATTCTGTATCTTGCACTGTTTTTATCATCATTCGTTGAAAAAGCGACAACGAATGGTTCTCTTTTGCTAATATCGGAGTCATTGTCTGCCATTTTCTTACTAGATTCATTACATTCATGAGGTATCTATACCACAAGTTTTAATCGGTATAAGTTTACGGTACCGATTCCAGAAAGTTTTATAGCGAGCCGCTTTTCTACGAGGTGCGCCGTAATAAACGTACACAAAAAACGTGCATCCCCACGGGCGCATGGTACTTTCGGATCTTGGAAGATTTGCTCCCGGGAAGGTTTCTGGTGAGGGTATAAGTTGTAAAAGTTGAGAATTTTTGCATTCTATAACTATTATGGAATGTCTGTCCGTCTGTGCCATTGACTTACAAAACAACACCATCGTTGCCTTCCATTCTTGATCTATCTTTTCATGAAATGAAAAAAGTCCCTCATCCGTTTCTTTTCCAATTAGGTCATCTTTGCTCCGCCCCCAACAAAAAGCCAAACGATCTCTTGGGTACTTTTCTTTGATGCTGCAATGTAAACAGGCCTTCCACTGAAGGCCTTTTCAGTTTCCCTCACATCTTGCAGCATATCTACCAAGAAAGGATACTTTGGGGCTACCAATTCTTACAACTTGCCGCTAGACCTTTCCTTAAAAGCCAGCAGTATGTGTAATTCTTTGGACTTCAGAATGATGGTTGGTGAAAAATCCAGCATCACAACAAAGTATTGACCATTTGGAATAGGTTTTCCACTTACATACGTTTTGATCATCTTTCGTCTCTCGGCTGCAAATGCCCTGGACCAATGCTGGTTGGACACCCAAGTGAGAACCTGGCCATCAAACATGCCATCCTCCTCCTTATCCAAGGTGTCCATGATCCGTCCCTTCCTTCCCTACGGGGTGTCCCTGACCGCCTCTGTTGGGCCTTCTGCTCTCAACAATGCATTGGCTGCCAAGGACTCTTGGAAGGACGGCTGTCTTGTCAATGGGCCCCTTGCAGGAAGTATACCTACAGTTGCATGGGAGGCAGCTCTCCCACTCTGTGGGTTTCTCATCTATCACACCAGCTGATCTTGATGGGGTTCCAGATGTGGGAACATTGGAACTTGGTGCAACACTTGGAGGATAATGTGCAGCTACGTGAGCACAGCTGACAGGTCAACGACGGGATTCATTCCCAGTTCGATATGGGCCCAACCAACCTTCCAAAGGTTGCCCAGCGCATGCTCTTGGTCAAGCGCCGGGCAGTACTGAACAAACCCTCAGTAGATTGGGAGGAGTGGCAAAAGCTGGTGAAAATGGAACACACGGCCTACTGCCGTGCTCTGGTGCCTCAATGCCGCATTCTCCATCACTTGTTCCATCCTAAGGACCAAGTCCCCTAACCACTGTTTTGTGGAAGAGTCCGGACCCACTGGTTCTGACTAGAGCAACTTCTGTTTGTCAGATGCCTCTCCTCATGGTTCAAACTTGTTGTTAACTTGCCGCTTCCCAGTACCTGCCCTTTCCAGCCAAACATTCCACCAGCAATCCTTTGCGCTACTAGATAGCATTTAATCGATTAATGTTTCAGTTATTATTATTATTATTCTCTCAGCTGAAAATGATGCCCCTCTTGCTCTTGCTCTTCTGCTCCCTTCCGCTCGTTTGCGACTTCCTACATCAGCTGGGACTGTGAAAAACCACCCCCGGCGTCGCTCATCTTCTCAAACCTCTGGTGACGATCTCTGCATACACGATCCCCATATATGCACCTCGTGGCCCGAAAGCCCCCACTACCTGCTGGTGGAAAGAAAAGGATCTACATCCATCATTGCGCTGCATCTCTGTTTGATACAATACATAAAAGCGGACCCAACTATATCTATCACTTTTCTTCTTTGCCCATGACACGCATTTGCCACAACTAAATTTCCATGCCTACAGTAAATTGTACCACCCCGCCAAATCTGCTGGGTGTACTAATATATACGATACTCTACAGTACGATACCCCCAAACAAGCTCCATACCGATTTCCCCTCCCCTGGAGAGCTGGTTTTAAAATGAGGTCTGTTTTAGGTCTGCGGTAATATCTCAGGTCGGACGAATGAATGACCGAATGAATCATGAATGAATGAATCAATCAATCAAATGAGAGTCAGTCTTCAAGTCTGTGCTTCGCTCGACGTTCAACGGCAACCGAACAAAAATCCTTCCATCAAAATCATCATTTTTCTTTCGATAATAATGGATTATGGCATCCACCACAAGGGCAGAAGCAACCGACGATTCTTCGCCGACATTGGGTAAGAAAGACAAGAAGAAGCTCAAGAAGCTACGCAACCGTGTTCTGAAGGTTCAAAATGAGGGAGAACGGAGCGGAATTTTGACTCCAAAGGAATGGGAAGAATACAGAAAATTGGAGGATCCGGATCTCACTCGAGATGTTGGGCCTTCCATTCGAATTCGAAAGCGAAAAGAAGGAATCAATGTGGAGGGTGCTCAGCATCGAGATCTTTTGGCTTGGTTGTTGAAGCAAATTTTATTTCCAGAAAAGAACGAGGCTCCAGTGTCCAAGAAACGAAAGCGAGAGGAAAATCAAAAGGAGACGATACATACCGTGACATTGCCACCTTGGGTTTCTATTCACAATCCTGGTAGCATCAGCAGTATAACGGCGCTGGAGATTCATCTACCACTAAGTGCATCTCTGAAACTGGATCGAGTGGAATCCTTCTTGGAATCGTCTGGTGGCAAAGGAAACATTTGTAGCACCAAGATCAGGACCAAGTGGTTTCAAGGGCATACGCCACGTTCTATCTCGGATAGCCTGTTATACTTCAATTCAAAACACAACAAGAAATCCAAACCAGAGAATATTTCAAAATCGATAGCAGAAATTGTGGCAGAACTGGAAGGCATGTTGATCCAACCGTTAGAGTTGGAAAAAGAAGGATACCCAGGCAGGGTGAAGGGATCGAAAGCCCATGAGTATTCTTCCTGGACGCCAACAGAAAAAATTGATATGGCTACGATATCGCTTGAAGATGCAACTGCCTTGGTAGAGAAGATTGGTTTTCGGATAGAAGAACAAGAGCAAGATGACGACCAGCTATACATTTCCACTGATACCACGGAATCATCTTCACAATCGGACCAATCACCTCGAGTATTCGGGATGGATTGCGAAATGGTTAGAACTTCCACTGGATCTGAGCTAGCTCGTATTACCATTGTTCAATTTCAAAGTTTTCAAGATGGTATCATGACCACGACCACCATTATGGACGAGTTGGTGAAACCTGACAAGGCTGTACTGGATTATTTGACTCGACATTCGGGCATGACGCCCAAAGTATTGGAACCAGTCACTACTCGACTGTCCCAGATTCAAGTTGCTCTATTGTGCTTTCTTCGACCTAATGACATCCTGGTCGGACATTCACTGGAGAATGATTTGAAGGCGACACGCTTGGTACATGCGAGAGTGATCGATACGGCCCTGTTGTTTCGAGCCTCCAATAAACGGACCAAATTTTCTCTCAAGCATCTTGCGGCATACTTGCTTCAAAAAAAGATTCAAGCTGGATCACATTGCAGTGAAGAAGATGCGTCGATGGCTTTGGAATTGGCAATCCGTAGAGCATGGTTTGGTGAATCCTTTCAGGTTCCAAGTGGTGATGATCGTCGTTCTTTGTTCGAGGGTTTGTCCTCGGCACGAATCATGTGCGCTGGTCCCGCCGACTGGTTGCATTCGCATATTACCAGCAATGCCAATGGAACCCATGCCTTGGGATATGAGGGAATTGCAGAATGCAAAAAGGCTGTGCTAGCATGGCAATCGAGTCAGCGCAAGACCGATTTCATTTACTCTCAATGGAACCTTCAGAACGAGAATGACGAAAAAAGTTTGAAGGAATTGGAAGATGCAGTGGTATGTATGGCGTATAGTATCGATACGATGCCTGTAACTCCATGTCTGCCTCATTCTCATGGGATTTTCGCCTTTTCCGTGCTCTACAGATTGAAGTCATTGAGAAAATGTCGTCTACATCCATATTGTTGATTTCACTGCAGCAAAACCATCACTGTGCCAAGAAGCTTTTGAAGCAGAAACGGATCTGCAAAAGTCATAGAGCAACTGCTGGGTGGAGTACGGAACAGGAAGAGAGTTTGCTAGACGCAGTGGATGATAGTCGCAATGGGACAGTATATTGGATAGGCTCCGCAACTACAGAACCAAGTAGGGATGAAAGATGATGAAAGACCAAGAGGAAGCAGATTGAAGATTGTCTCTTTTTCATTTAAAAAATCTACAGTACAAGTATTTCTCGTCAATCGCAGTTAGGTTCCAACTTATCGTTCCTTTCATTTATTCTTGACATCTTCTTCTCCAATACTTGAACTTGCACAAAAGCGGGGAAACATCGATAGGGCCGTTTGGGCTCTTGATTCGCCATTCCAAAGAAATCCAAATACATTCTCAATGACGATTCCTGCTCCACAATGCAATTGGCATTGTCTACGATCAATCTCGCATTCTCGTTTTTCCTCCATCGAGGCTTGTTTTATTCTCATCTTCCACAGCGCTAGCTCAATTTGTGATGTTTTCTCTATTCTCGTGTAGTATCCTCTCGAACGAGTTTCCGTCTCGTTTGAATGTCATGGTCACCTGCTGTTGGTACGTGTAGGGACTGAATGTGCTGTTCCAAATCAGCCTTCCATTTGGGTATCAATCCCATACCCCAATCATTAATGGAAGTTACAAATACCTTTTGCAGTGTCATTTGAATCAAGGGGACAGCTTCTTTGGAGGAATGGATCAATAGGTAGTCCATCATGGTTTTGGCGTTAAATTCCCCAGAAACAAGCACCTTTTTCGGATATCGATTCAAGAGAAATTCCAATATTTCCTTCTTTAGGTTCACAGAGGTCACCACGATATGAAACGGATTCATACCAAGATCGTCGTCATAGCGCAACCTATCTTCCAACCATTTAGTGTTGGACAACGACAACTCCTCCCACACTTGAAGTAGTTGGTTCACAGTGTCACTTGTCTGTGAAGAGGAGTCGTAACATATGTTGTGGACTGGACTACCATCATATCGCATTCGAAGACACTCAGTTGGATCCCATTCTCCTTCGCTGGCGAACAAATTACAGTTCTGGAAGGTATTGTGCGTAAAAATGGCTGAATACGGAAGGGAAATATTCGCCAACGCCCAGCAACCAGCAAAGGCCTTCGCATGGATCTTCTTCAAGTCTCTATCTTGTGGTATCTCCACTCCCAACAAGGACGTGCAGTTTTCAAAAGCTTTTGAGCTTATTACCTTGAGACTGGAGGGCAATGGAATCGTCGTCAATCCAGAACACTTTGCGAAGGAAGATTCGCCAATGGTTTTGACACCTTCCTGAAATTCGACATCTACGAGGGAAATACATCCATAGAACGCCTGCTTTCGAATAATCGTTGCCGTGCCAGGAATGGATACCGTTCGGAGCGAGGTACAGCTGAAAAAGCACTTTTCTGGAATCTCTATGATTGGACCAGCGTCTCCAAGATTGATATTGATCAACGCTTTGCACCCTGCAAAGGACTCACTATCAATCGTTTTTAGACCTGCGTCTTTGTGAAGTATGACATTGGTGAGGGTGCTGCATTGTTTGAAGAAGCTTTTGCCGATCACCTCCACTGTCTTTGATATCTCCACGGTGGTCAAGGATGTCAAGTGCGAAAACAATGCACCGGAGTCTAGTTTTGTCACAGAAGGATCTACAGTGACATGAGTGACATCTTTGGGAATGTCTCCCTTTGACTGGCCTGTGTAAACAAATCATTCCGTCCCATCTTTGTAGATGATGCTGCCATTGGCGGCTTTGAGTTTCTTGCGAGGGCGCATAGTGGCTGGCATTGGATAATATTGGTATATATTGCCTGTGATTATTGGTGGTGGTGGATAGAGTACCTATACCTGTCTATACCTATACTTATATTCGATTGTCTGATGATTCAATGATTCTTCTCTGTCTGTTTCAGCTTCCAAGGTTCCCTTAGATTAGATGTGCTTGTGCTTAAAATTCAATGATTGTAACGTCAACGAGTACCAGGTACACAAGAAAGGATTGGTGCAACAGATTTAGGTTGAGGTTCATGATGGACTAGTTCGAACCGTCTGGCATTTGTTCTCTCATCCGGCCAAGCGCAAAGAACCGTGTAAAACTTTTATTCACAGAAACACATATTAAAATAACAACCAACAAAAAATGGACGAGACATGCTTGCCACGAAGCAAGAGAACTGGACGAATCTTGGCAAAGCGATCAAGACCTGGTGGACCTGTTACTTGTGTATCCTTTCATGACAATGGCCAAGGTGAAGCCTCGATTTTTGCTGCTCGAGGTCCCTATTTAGAACGTGTCAGAAAGAAGACCACCAATCATCATCAACATGACGACGACGAAACCGATCGACTATTGGTATTTCCAAATGGAGGGATTATTCATGGAGTGAGGCACGATGATAGAAAAGATCAAACTAAACATTGGAATGCTGTAGTCTTTGGTGGAAAGCTACTGGCCTTTTGTGATTTGGATTCTTACTCATCTCCAATGATGACACGGATAGATATCAGCAGTCGTCATCAGAATGATGATGACAACAACAAAACAACAACACTACCTCATTTGACGTTGATTGATTGGATCTGGGATGTCAAATTCATTTCCTTTCCCCATGTCCAGGAATCTACGACTACTCTTGCAATTGGAATGGCGAGGCATATTGTGGAGCTATGGAAAGTCGTCGAGGGTGATTCAAATTCAAATTTAAATGTCAGTCGCCAGCTACGAATCCATGGCCAACCTTCTTGTCAAGTGACGTCGATGGATATTCGATTCAAGGATAATACGCTCACAGTAGCAGCTGGTACATCCTTTCAAGAGATTGCAGTTTGGTCACAAGAGCTGCAATTGGAAGCAAATCATGACGACATGACAATAATTTCTACGACGAACAACCAGTCGTCCATGTCATGCTCACTGCAAGGGCATGCGGGAATCGTCCACGCGGTTCGGTTTTCGGCCAATGGTCAAGCATTGGCGTCCACATCGGATGATCGGAGTGTTCGTTACTGGATTTTGAATAATGATAATAATGATGATGATGATGGTGATAAGTGGAAACTCCAATGGGTTGGCTGGGGTCACACGGCTCGCGTTTGGTCCGTGTCTTTTGTTCCATCCTTACAGATGGTTGCCAGTGTGGCAGAGGATGGAACAACCCGTTTGTGGTCTTGTAAGACTGGTCAAGCGATGGGATGCATACAGCATTCCTCATCATTGTGGAAGATTGATACACTGCAGGACTTTGCCATTGCTGGGGCCACGGATGGAACTATTCAATGTTACGACTTGAGAAGCCGCACGCGACAAGAAGGGAACCGGCTCGTCGAGATTGATTCGATTGCTGTTCCTGACGATAGACCGAAGTCACAGCCAGCAGACGAAGCAAATAAATCAATTGATGAAACAACATCTACCAGTGGAGAACCAAAAGCCAAAAAGCCAAAGAAGAAGAAAAAGAAGGTACCAACCCAAGTTATCGTCGGGATGCAATGGTCCGACATTAAAGCCGACAATCCAGTACTGCTGGTGGCAACACGAGCAGGATCTTTGATGCAGCTTTGTGTTGGCTCGAAGAATGAATGGGATATTATGGAACCATGGTGGACCGAGTCCCTCGAACAAGCTCATGGCATTCACTCCACGGATGGTTGCTGCATGGCACTACACTCGAGCCAGATTGCCATTGGAACATCACGTGGTGATATTGTCCATATCCCCAACAAATCTGGTCATAATCAACTGCTATCGGCACGAAATCTCAAATCGGTGCAGGGACTGAAATGGGTGGATGCAACAACTTTGATTTCCTTTCACGTTTCTTCCGTAGCGGTATGGTCCATTGCTTCGTCTGAAAATGCCTTGTTGCCGACATGGATCTGCGAGCTGGAAGGAAAAGGAAAGGGGGTTCCATTGAGCGCTGCATATGAACAAGATAATAGACTGGTCGTGGGTGACAGCCGTGGGACATTATGGTTATTCCAATTGGATAGTGGGGGTGCTTCTTCTACTGGTGCTGCTGCTGCTGCTGAGTCCAAAACAACGATGCAATCATCATCGACACTCCCACGCGCACACCAGAAGGAACACATTCTGGATGTTGTGTTTCGGGGGAACAAGGTTTGCTCGGTGGGAAATGATGGTTGCCTCCACATTGCGTATGTGAACGACAACAATACTTTATCAAAAGGATGGTCCGTCCCAGCCGCATCCATGACTGGAATTTGCAAGCTATGGGACCAGCTGGATGGTTCTGGATTTTTAGTATCGGGTTATTATGGCAACACATACCGTATGATGGATATGAAAACGGGGCACGAGCTCTTTCACATTGATACAGGAGGTCGCCAACGAAGTCTTCACTGTGCCATTGATATGTCGTCAGGGGGTTCTCGTGCTGGGAGCGAACTATCAAAGTATGCAGTCGCGATTTGCATGAACCAAAAAGATGGAACAAACTCCATCATGATTCGTCACCTAAAGACTCAACAACAACACCGTCCACTTTCAGTTCCAAAGACGCTTTCCATGGATGTGAACATGCATAGTGAGACGATTTTCGACGTGTGCTTGTTCCAAATCAAAGATTCGATACTTGTTTTGACTGGTAGCGAGGATTGTACATCAAAACTATCCATGTACGATTCCGGTAGTTTGATTGATTCTACTCTGTTGACACCTCAGGAGAGTTGCGTCAAGGCTGTCTGTTCGAGTCAGCACGATGACAACTCGGCACTTTTGGTGGTTGGAGGAGGCAAACTGATTCTGCAGTTCTTTCTCGTGCGTTCCATTATTCAATCGTCCACTACTACTATAGACGACTTGCAAATTCAATTCTTGGGTCAGTTCAAGAACCGTGACAAGGCCACCATTGATCACCGCATCAATGCTGTCAAGGCACTTCCAATAGTAGCTGGTGATGGTGATGATGATGATGATGATGATGATGATGATGATGATGATTCGGAGAGCGATTCTTTGAGAAAGCACTTGGTGGTTGCGGGCGACTCGGATGGGTGCTGTCATTTGTTCATGGTTTCGGAAGATGAGAATAGTGGGAGAAAGGTGTCTCGTGGTATACTTGTTGCGGCAGGCGATCGGCCCATATTGTGCATTGATATGTGTCCAGTCGGAACAAGTCGCATTCTAGTGGCGATTGGTAATACGGCTGGCGACGTGCTTTTGTTCGATTTGCCAGGTTCCGCTTCCAAACTCGAACACCAATGGGACGAACTCGGGCAAACACTGAAACCATTCTCGTCCTATCATGCGCATCAAATGGGAACCAATGCTGTAAATGTACTGCTATCACCGGTTTCAAATGCATCAGATGTCATGAATGTTTCAGTTTGCACCGGTGGTGATGACCAAGCCCTTGGCATGTGCAAGCTATCCTTTTCCTCCATAAACGAACATGACGACGATGACGACGACAACAACAAGCTTTGCTTGGTGACCGACCCTGTACCACAAGTAATCAAGGAACTCAGTTTTTCAGCAATAAAAGGTGTGAAGCAATTTTGGCATGGAAACGAACGATACCTGTTGACAGTCGGATACACTCAACGACTGGCTCTTTGGCACTGCCGTGGTAGCAGCCTTGATGAAGACGAATCATCATTATCGTCTGCCAGCGAAATACCAACACTGCTGGATGCAGCCTCTGTGGACTTGGGCGATGTGAATTGTCTAGGTGTGCTCAAGAAGAGAACCAAGGAAAATGACAAAACAACGGGCACGGACCTTCTGGTTGCTGTTGGTGGAATGGGCGTGGAACTAATGGAATTCCCAACAGCAAGTCTGTAAATGAACGTGGATTTTAATACAGTTACACATAATCTTTGAGGCGTTGCGCTGTCTACAGATACACATTTATAAAAGTCTTCTTTGATTCATTCCAAGGAGATGACCCCTTTCATAGTCCTTGTTGTCTCAAAAGTTTCTTGGCCTCTCGAAAGTCTTTCCACTTTTGTCTGTCATCTCGTTGCAACTTGTCTCGTAGTCTCTTCATGCAGCAAACACCCAAGACCATGTACAGGAGTCCTACTCCAAACATGAGCCAAGCCGTGACTTGCATAAAGACGCCAAGCCAGGCAACGTGGAATTCGTCCTTTTGGTGCCCCACAGTGTCTTGTACACGTTCACTATAGGCTTCTTCCAAGGCCGACTAGAGGGGGTAAAGTGAATGGTGATTGGGAAACAACAACAACAACAACAACAACAGGTTAGAAGCAGCTTTCTTGGGTGTTTGGATCCAAGACACCTATCATGCATGAAAGAACGAACGAACGAATGAATGAACGTACCACACCGAGAAAGGAGTACACAAATCCTCGCGACAAGTAGTTTTGCAGAATCTGGGAATCTTTCAAGAATGGCACCGCCGCGTCGTATTCCACCAGAATAAAGACCCCGCAAAAGATGGAAATGTAAATCTTCAAGACAATCGCACCGGGATTGATCTTGTCCAAGGGAATAAAGAACAGCGGGAATACTTGGGTTATCATCAGTGCGACGCAACAGCATATGGCAAAGGCTTCAATCCACTGTGACGATATTGCAAACGAGAGAAAGCAGAAATGACAGATGAGTACAGGAGCCATGTATGCAATACTCTTGCAATCAAAAAGTATGCAAAACTCACATGAAATACATAAAGCACGATATTCTTCCGAGGCCCTTCGAGGGTACCACCAGCCGTGCGAGCAGTAGCCGTGTCCTCCGTGGTAATGTGAGAAATGACACTCTTCCCTTCTCCATCATCGGTATTATTATCTTGAGTGGTGGCTCCATAGGCGCTATCTTTTGAGGGACTACTCTCCTTGCCACTCTCTTCATCATCAAACATGAGACTGTGGCTTTCGTCGTTCTTATCGTCCATCCAGGATGGTGTTCTTTCGTCACTCATTGGCTGTCAATTAAAAATCTGTAGTTTTTTTCTTGTTATTATCTTCCTTGATCTGAATCTTGTGACTGTCGATACAGGTAGGTACCGGTAGGTTGGTTATTACTGCAAAGGTATTTTATGGGTGAATGAATGGAATGGATCCGACCGGATGATGATGTCGTTCTTATCGGGCATCAGCGACATGCAAAATGTCTCATACGATGTCTCTTTTAAAAATATAGGAAATGGAGCAGCAGAGAATCGGAAAATGGAAATCAGCTTTTGAATATTTGTTGAAAACAAAAAATGTATTATGGATGACCCGGAATCTTTCGTACAAGCAATTCTTTTGTTCAACAGAGAATACTATTATCGAGGTAATGAGGGAGAAAAAGTACCAAGAAGTGTTGAAAAACTTACTTTCAATGAAAACATTCAGGTGGTGCCGGATTATTTCTGCTGCGGCGAGTATGAGCGGTTGCAAGAATAGTGACTCTGCCTGAAGGATTGATCAAGATTGGAGAGCATGCTTTTCATTACTGCACAAGCTTGTTGGAAATCAAGATTTGCAAGTTCCATCTTTTTATTCGTCGTATCGGCTGGAGACAATTGGCGAAAGCGCTTTCAATGGTTGCATTTCCCTACAAAGAATCAAAATTCCGCCATCTGTGAACATAGTTGGCGAGCAAGTCCTTAATTGGTGTAGAGTTTTGGAGGAAGCAGATTTATCAACAACGGCTATCATGGAGATTCCAAATCGTGCGTTCGCGTGATGTTGCTCCCTACAAACTGTGATTCTACCGAACTCATTGGAGTGCATTCGTTTCAAAGCGTTCCATGGATGTGACTGCCTAGTTACAATTATATTTCCTCTGGATTCACAGCCGATCAAGATCGGATACCAATCCTTCTTTCAAGGTGATGCTCTTGCGAACCTGGTTCTTCCGCAACGGTCCAAAGCCTACGATTCAAATCCAGAACGGAACGATCCTACCGACGCAACAAACCCTTTTGTACAATGTGCACTATTGCAGGATCGCTTTGGTGAAAGAGCCAGTAGAATTGTTCGTGGTTTGAAACGCCGGTTTGACAACTTTCCTGTCCACAGAATTTGCTACCACTACGGTGGTCATTCCTCTACCACAGCAGCCTCAGAACTTGGCGAGTGCATCAAGAGGACAATGGGATGAGGACTCACCCCTTGTGGAATATCCTATTTTCGACTACTAGTACTGAATCCAGCATTGATATTCTGGAAGTTCTTCTGGATAAGTATCCATCTTTTGTTCTGGGCTGGAGAGATGCCAACAACAAATTGACAATGGAGTACTTGGTGTGCAACTGGACGCAAGGAAGCAAGCTACTGCTGCACATGGCCTTGCAAAGCTGGATGTTCAGTCGGTTGGAGCGCTGGCGCTCGGAATCTTGGAGAACACAAATCATTCCCCTCGTCCATGCTCTTCTTGCGGGCAGAAGATAGCAGGGAACGTAGAATGATTTTGTTCGTCGAGGCGTGCTCAGTCTTGAAAAAGTACGAAAAGATGGAATCCACATCGATCTTGGATATGACCTTGTGGAAAGGGCACCTCAAGCGTGGTGGACGGAAGAAAAGAGGCCGCAAACGACAGGCGCTCGACCGAGAAGAGTGCCGGTGTATCTGTGGATCGGGTATTGTGATTCCGAGTGTAGTAGAGTTCCTTTGAGTGAGAATCAATCATCAATAATCCCGTAACAGCTTTAGCTCGGTTGGTTAAAAATGTGTTGTTCGCAACATGATATCTGGAGAAACTGAGAATAAGAAACGTTGTTGACATCATTCTTCTTCCTCATCAAACAAAATATCGGCACGACTCACGTCAAATCGGCCAGACAGCTTCCGAGTGCAAGTTGTGGTTACGATGTGCCTCTATCTGAACCTTCCCACCCCAAATTAGCTCGAATCTGTGGCTCTTTGCGGCTACCACAAAAAAACATAAACCATGTTGGAGTTGCTCCTTTCCTTGGATCATGAGACCTCCAAGCTCTTTGACTGGTTGGAACCTCGCGAGATTCTTAATTTGACTTGTGTCAACCATGCTTTGCATCAAGCTTGTGAACACTGGTGTCAAGCTAAGGGTGTCCCACGACAAGTGGCCATGAAAGAGGCGGAAATTGCAGGCATTTGCGATTGTTTGGTGGAAATGGAGCAGGTTGCTCATGACGACCTGGCCTCGCCCCTCTTTCAATCCTACCAAGGATTTCTCCACGCCCTTCTTCGAACGCCTCTTGATGATACTGTGATAAATCTATTCTCCTGGAGTATAAGATACTGGAAAGCATCACAGCCTCGACCTCCTGCTGTTTCACAACGTTTTGATTTTGGATACCCAGACACTGGTTATTGGTGCGACACCTTTGGTTGCGGAGCACCAAACGATTACTTTCGGTTGGTGGGAGATGCTCCAAACGAATATTGGTCATTATGTTTGGCCGGAAGTGATATCCAGTACCTTAGCTGGAGGAGTGTTTCCAACGACGACAACCGCGTACTTGATCCTGTCCCAAGCCCAGATTCCCGCAATGTGACTAGAAAGAAGGCAGCCTACATCCAATCATCTAACGGGCCTACCGAGTGGGACAGGACAAAGCAGTATTGGAGGGATTGTGGAGCTCGAATTCGTCCATCTTCCACCAGATGGCGACTTGATATGTAAGCTCCATGATCATTGCACTCAGTTCTCTTCTCATGGTTCATTTCCCCTTAGCAAATATGTTTTAATAACACCATTTAATCAGTTTTACAATACTTTCAAAGCCTCATCAATAACAGCTACCAGGACCAGTGCCAGTACCTACGGTAGAAGGAGAAAGCTACACTGCTCCTATTTACCTGTACCTCTATCGTACTATACCTGAGCGGTATTTACGACTTCTTCGACAACAATCGACCGTTATTTCGTTGATTCAAAAATACTATTTGACACGCATCATCCACAATCACCAACAACGACTCGTTTATCATCCTAATCGCTCATTGCAACGACGAGTGCACTGTGAAAGGAAAAGAATACAAGACTTGGCGAATGGCGAGTCCTATGCGGTGATTGTTCACCATGACCAGACGCAAACGAGCATCAGCAGCGGCTCCAAACCCACGGAGTCTCAAGTGGTTGCATCAATTTGAAACGGTTTCGTATAGAAGGGGAGACAAGACTTTGGAGCACAAGGTTGAGGTCTTCGGGGACTTTTACAATGGGACTGAACATGTTCTCCAGTGCATAGATGCATTTTTGGATCAGCATACTTCCGAAAACCTGGACATTGCCTTCTTTCTACTGCAAGACGTGATGAAACCGTTGGAAGAAACATTGGAACAAGGTGTCAAGCAAATCCACCTTTCGGATGATATGAATCTACTGCGACAACAAAAATCGACTTTCATTCTTAAATATGTCGTCCCAAAGATATATTACCACCACAATTTTGCTGACATCAAGCAAATCTTGTGCCGATCGATCACTGGCATTCTAATTTTGATCCGAGAGCTCTTCTTTGTCCATCGTCGGGATCAGAACAATACCTCCAATTTGGTGAAGCATTTCAAGGCCAAGGAGTTCTTGGCAAATATTACACTACAAATCTGGTCAGAGGTATATTACAAACACGGTATTCCATTCGTGGAGGACCAAACCCTCCCGTACCTTCGACAACTGGCCATGTTGGACGTATTTGACAAGAATTGGTCGGTAGCCGGGGGCTGGGAACAATCGATACTACTATTGGAGGAGCACTTTGGCAGCCTACCCCGCATTTCGAGTGACAAGTCACTTGATGAAACATCAGAAATCATTGAACGGTCCAGAAATTCATTGAGGTGCCAGCAACTGCGGGCCGAATACCCACTTGCCGTTGACTACTATCTCGAAGAACGCAGAGACCGCGATCTCATGTACCAGTACTCTCCAAAGTGCAGTGCCTACATGTGCTCCGAGATAGAAACATCCAACCAGCCACATCGACTGCGATGTTATCGATGTTACTACTTTCATTGGTGTAGTCCTGCCTGTCGCGACTACAGCGAAGAAGTTCAAGACGTGCACACAAGCTATTGCAAAGAGTGCCCCGGCAGCAAGGTGAAAGAGTGTCGGGCTCAAATGAGCGAGTACTTGAACATCCTCGATGCGACGGTCCAACGCACCGACAAGGTCAAATGTCATGGATGCGGATTGCAAAAGGAGTATAGCCAGTTCATGGAGCGGTGCAGCAAGTGCAAGGCGAAATACTACTGCAGCAAATCTTGTCAGCGTTGGGATTGGTACCAGGGGAACCATAGATTAAACTGCAAATGTCCACCTTAGATGCTAATAATGATTATAATGCCTACCTTAGGTAGACCTACAGTACCAGGCGATCCAGCAGAATACCTACAATATGTGGACCTACCATCAATCATCCAGAAACTATACTGTGGAGTCTTATTCCCCTTCTTGGTCTCCCCCTTTTGGGGGCTTAACTACTTTTTTCGTGGGATTGCTGGCGAGTGGCATTTCTGTTGGGACATTTTTGGCCAAAGCCTCCATTTTGTGTACGTGTTGTACCACACCAGATTTGGTCTGTTCGCCACATTCCTTGAGATGGACAGTCATAGGACATATATTTTACTTAACATCTCAATTTGATCAACATTTTTACATAGTGCAAAGTCATCCATAGCTCATTGAGCCCAAGAGAAAAACATCAATCCCCCAGAAACGCTGACCCAGAATGAATTGTGGCGGTGAAGGAAATGGAGTTGAACCTGAGTCCTGAAACCATCAAGCGAGCACTGCACTAGCTTAACCTCCTCAGGCAACACCGAGACGCGCCCATCACAGAAACTCTAATCAGCTGGTTTAAAGCAACAAATCTGAAGCTTGATATTGGCCTGCAGCAACTGGTGAAATAGAAGTTGCTGTCTTGTATTATTCATTATTCGACAATATTCGCTTTACAAAGGAGACTAGCTGAATCGAGTATCCCAACGCAACATAGCACAGCACATTGTTGTATTGTGTCCTCTGTTTTTGTGCGGGTTAGAAAGAGAAGCCAAACAGGGGATACTTCTTGAACGACATAATAGTATCAACTGCTGGCAACTCATCAGGGGAAAGCTGATTCGCAACAGAGCCTCAGCCCTCAGTCTTACTCAAATTCAAAAGAAACAGAGAGCATGCTTCGACGAACGGCATCGTTCAAGCAAGGTGCTCGAGTGGGAGATGCTGGTAGCTCCCAAAGCCGACGGAAGAAGCAAAATGTAATGGAAATTGATGGAGTCTTGTGGGCACTGGATGAACACGGCAATCCTCTGAAACGCTTGCGCAAGAAGGGCAAGGATGGTGATGGTGATGCCAATCAAAGTAGTGGCGCCAGTGTAAGCACCAAGCGAATAAAGAAGAATATAATCGAAATAGACGGGCACCCTTGGCTTTGCGACGATGCAGGGAAACCTATTAAGAAGTTAAGGAAAAAGGCAAAGGAAGGTGATCCTCCTCCTGATGAACGAAGAAACCCACCTCTGCGATCAAAATCCGCACGGGGGAGAAATGGTGGCTATGAAAGTGATGGAACGTCGTCACGGGGTAGTAACAGAAGCAATCGACGGAGAGCACGGGACGAGATGAGCAGTCGGGGTCGATCGCAATCAAGAGCTCGGCCGCAACAACAACATCATGGGTCAGACAGTGACGAACGCGGTAGTCTGGAAAAGATGATGAATTCGGGAGATAGCAGCAGCACCAAAAAAAAGAAGAAAGTAATAGAAATTGATGGACATTTATGGGCTTGCGATGAAAACGGAAATCCTGTCAAGAAGGTACGGCGGAAAGGAGAGCCAAAGCCAACGCACAGTGGGCACTCAGACTCTGGCTCGCTCCAACGAGAGCGCGGCCGAAGTCGGGGTCCTGCTGCTGCTCGAGATACCAACAATGCCAGGTCCAAATCACGACAACCGGGGAGCTCCTATACAGATGAAAAGGGAAGAAAACATGTTTTTGATGAGTTTGGCAATGAAACTGTGTTTGGCCGCGATGGCAAAAAGCTGAGAAAGAAGGGAGAGCCGAAAGTAGGCGGGCTAATGGATCATATCATGACATCGTCCGGCATGGCAGGGCCACCCCCAGGCCAAAAGCCACCTCATCGGACTGGTGAAGAGAAGAAGGACACTGGCCGTGATCTTGAATTCGGGATCTTTGACAATTTGTGGGACGACTTGGAAGGCAATAATAAAGGATCGAGCATCAACGACCTCCGCAAGAGCTTAAATCTGTCACCAGCAAAGCCGACACTAAGGAGGAGCAGTACCGACGTCGATCTTGGCGATCCGGATGAAGTGGATAAGCGAAATAAACTGTTGGTGGAAGAATTGAGGAAAGCCAAAGAAGAAATGCGAGAATTGGAGGAACAAGCCAAAAAGGAAAAAGCAAAGAACTTGAAAGCCCAAACGGACATGATGACACTCAAGGCAGAGTTTACTGAAGCAAGTACAGAGCTCGAAAATCTTCGGTATAAAGTTTACGATCTGACGTCTGAGATTCAGAAAAAGGAAAGAGATCTTGAAGCCGCAAAGGCGAGTGTAGCTGCCAACCCGACACCTGAGGGGGCAGAAGGCATTGCGATACTCGAAGCCGAAAAGGACAATCTTGAAAGTAAGCTGGAAATGGAAAGGGCGACAGCGCAACAGGAAATCAAAAAAAAAGAAGAACAACTTGCCAACATGAATCGGGAAATGGCTATTCTACGAAACGAAGTAGAAATGCTCATTACCGGTAAGAAAGGAAATGAGGTGGATCCTAGTTTGAAACGGCTGATGGAAGAAAAGCAAGAAGTAGAGAAGAAATTTTCAGCAGAAAAGGAGCAGAATGAATCCAAAATCAAGAGTCTGCAAGAAATGATCGAAGCCTTGGAAATGGTGAACACCGAATTGAACAAGCAGATGTTAATAAACCGAAAGGGCAATCAGAATTCTGGCCTTGGTGGCGGTGCGGCTACTGCCTCGAGAAACAATATTCATAATCGTGACAGGAGAGGCTCAAACTTTGATCGCAAAGCTCCAGAACCGACCAAATCATTTGGTGAAGGTGGTGGCTTCACTCTGTCACCAGGAGCCCTGTTTGGCCGTGGTGGTAGATTTGGGCGGGGAAACAATGATGGTCAATAGAACACTTGTTTGTGTCATGTCATTTTCCACTGCATCGACTTATTGAGTTCCAAGATATGGAAACACGCATTATAGTCCCGCTACTAAAGTTATAGTTTTTCTCGAGCTTCAATCTCATTGTCGCCACGGCGCGACCGTGTGGTGGCCGTGTTAGCAGTATTTTCAACTGCACCAGCATCTTTCATTCGTATATTAGCTAACATAAGCTAGCAATATGCATCTATCATTTATTTCTATAGAAAGTATGCTATGTTATATCAAAGTTAGCCACTCAGCGCTTTTTCTGCTCTGGCTTGCAAATCTGACTTCTCAATACAATCAGAATGAGAAAGGCCAGCATCGGTTACTATTTTCTTTAGTTCCTTCACAGACATGGAATAGATGTCTTTGGCACTTTCAGTCTCTTCAAACTCTTCAACAGTAGGTATTTCTTCCTTGCTTGGTTCTGAGCCTGGTGGGTACACCCCATTTGGATTGGTGCTTCCATCTGTTGGGTGAACTCGTGCAAAAGCTGTACAAACTGCCATGTGAGCTTCGCAGTCAGCTTGGCTTTCTGCCAAAAAATCTTGGCCACACAAGACGCATCGACATTGCTTCATGGTGGATTTTTCGGCAGTTGAAGATTCTGAGTTGTTGATATCTGCAGAGTCGTCGTCGTCACTGTACCCTCCTCGAATGTCTTGAACGATGATTGGAACAACAAGGCTACGTGGACGTTGCCGAAAGACGGAATCTTCAAGGTGAGACAACTCAAACGGCTGCTTTCGAATGGCAAACGGCTTGGATAATTGTCTGAGGGATGAAACGCTCGAAGCAAGAGACACCAGAAGAAGGATGGCAAGTTGCATTGCTATGACCATAACCGTGACAGCTCTGCTTCATCATCCTCTTCTCCAACAGAAATTGAAACAAACGGACGGTAAACGGACGGCACGATTTGATTTTAAAAAGAGAAGTGAAAGTTCCAGCAGCAAAACCACAGAGGGTACCGGTGTGAAATAAGATAGTAGCATATGTCTATATAGAGATGGCAAAGCTTTTCTGGCACTTTGATGCTAGTTTGCATTAGATATCCAGAGGCAGCACAAGAGTAAAGTCCCAGTTCTTGTACTTGCAATCGACACATCCTGTCCGAGAGTAGCAGTTTGGAACTCCACACGCCGATTGCACCAAGTGCGTCATTCGACCGTTCTGCATCAATGGTTTAGGCCGTTCTCTAGTGGCTAACGTAATCGACTTTCCATTGGCAAGCGTCAGCTGGGTGCCATATGGTCGCTCCTTGGAAAGATGCCAATCGATGCCATCGGCACTAAAGGCATGACTCGCAACAACATCATTCTCACAGTTGCTTGCATTTGGATATAGTTGGTAGGCATGAAATATACCATGGAAATGGCCTCGGTGATCGACATACAGTTGCGGGTCCTCCAGGACATATCCATCAGGTGACATTCCAGGTATGTCTGCAATTTCTTCGTAGGGTCCTCCAACTGATTCAGCACGGCGTAGCGTAGAGTGTTTGAGCCCATGACGACAACCGACATATATGGTTCCATTTGGATGGACAAATGGAGCTGGATTATTACAAAATCCAAGTGTGTTGTTCACAAGAGGGCGCCATGGTCCATATAACGAATCGGAAACATGTATTGTACTCCCTGTTGATTCCAAATTTGAATCAGAGGTTGCTTCCATTTTCATTTGCCCCCCAAACTCGTAATCGCTGCTGTTGTTGCAGTCTACACCTCCGTTAATACCACCCTCTCCAGACCCAATGTGAAAAATTGCATACGTTCCATCCTTTAAGGCAACCGGAACTGGATTGTGAGATTGAGTTGGTATTGCAACGTCCAAGAATCGATAGGGTCCAGCGGGACTCTCCGCAATGGCATGGTCCACACGCGAGTTCTTGGTCCAATATTCTAGAGTGCAATTATTGGTCATGCGGACCACATACAAGTGGTACAATCTCTTCTTTGCCTCGTTCTCTTGCTCTTCCACTAGTATTCCACCGCCCCATGTCGTTTGATTCGGAAGCATTCCATATCCTTGAGGAAATTGAACTGGTAAAACATCTAAAAGTGAACACTCTCGACCATGCCATGGTTTATCACACAAGCAAACTTCATTTTGGCAGATTCCATTCAGAGAGCAATCCAAATCGCTTGAGCAGTCTTGACCTCCTCTTTCTTTTTGGTCGTCCTTCAAATTCAATGGCGGTCGTGATGCGATTGGGGATAACAATAAGTAAGATCCAATAATCAACACATTTAGGCATACAATCAAGACCCAGGAACTTTCATACATCGTGTTGTTGGGTCCCGCTCGTATTGATGGCATACTACAGTATCCTATTTTCAATTTGCATTTTCAATTTGCAGACAAAGATATACGCTTGATTCAGTCGATCAAATGCCGGGTCATTTTGAGTCCGCTACTAAAAGGTAATATTGTCGCACTCTCGTCGTCAGAAACAAAATTCGGCGGAATTGATATTGCATTTCAATTAATGAAAAGTGATCAAATCTATAAAAGTCCCACCGATGCGAAAAAGAAAGAAACCCATTTCTACTGTGAAAAAGCGAAACTGCATTATGCCATTTCTGAAAAATTGTTGTTTTACTCCAACACAAGAATAGCAACATGGGGGTAAGAAGCATGTCAACAACTTTGACAATGAAAGAAGAGGAAACCAAAGCCGATCAACGATGGTGTGAACTTGGTGATAACCGATATGGGGAGTACGGTGTTATTGGAGCTGAACAAGCTGATGAAACTCATCTAGATGATCGTTTGTTAAATGAAGAAGATGATGACGAAGACGAAAAATTTGGATCCGATGGTAGAATTCATTTCGCCAAGGACAAACTATATGGAAGGGATAAAGAGCTTGCTCAGTGTCGAGAACTGCTTGATGCTAATGAAGGGTCGTCAATCGTCTTTGTGTCTGGATACTCTGGATGTGGAAAGAGCAGAATGGTTGAAGAGTTCATCCATCTGAATTCAGCAACTGTGAAAGATGACGAGAACGGCAAAAGGCGACCAATTCTTTTTTTGCGTTCCAAATCAGATTCCATGAACGCAAGTATACCGTTCAGCTCTATCGGTGGTCTTTTTGACAACATTGATGAGAGCGTCACAGATGAATTCATTGACATGAAAGATGAAATACAAGAAAGCTTGGGAACTGATGCTCGACTGCTGCTGAAGGTTTTCCCCAAACTAGAGAGATACCTTAGCAAGGAAAATTTGGATTCTTCCAGGAGGGCGTCATCTGCTTCCAAAGAGGACTCGGTATCGGTTGATTCTTCTGGAGCCTTCGCATCTGGAATGAAGCACGAATCAAAGAAACGGATGATGTTTGCCCTTCAGTTCTTCTTTCGCACTCTGTCGTCAAGGTCTAAGCACCAAGTAGTCCTCTTTTTAGATGATCTACAATGGGCTGATGGTCTAAGTTTGGAATTGATACAATCTATTCTGACTGACAATACCATTTCAAATTTATTCTTCTTTGGCGGCTACCGCTCCAACGAAGTTGGCGGAGACCACATTCTCACCAAGAATATACATGAAATCAAAGTGTCACGAGACGAGAAACAACTCAAGGGTTACCTTGAGATCGAGTTGAAAGATCTTCAGATAGATTCTGTGGGACATTTCATCTCCGATTCACTGCGATTGAGTTACGAGGAGACCCTGCCGCTGACCCATGCGATCTTCACCAAGACGTTAGGAAACCCATTCTTCACTCGACAAGCCTTGGAGCACTTGGTTCGGAAGAATGCGCTTTTCTATGACAACATTTCGTTCCGATGGGATTGGAAGCTTCAAGAAAAGGAACTTAAGGATCTCATCTCTGACGACTTGTTGGAAATGGTTAAAGCAAAGATTGAACATCTGGAACCAAAACTCCAGGAAGTCTTAATGACGGCGTCGTGTACACGATCAACATTTGATGTCGACACGATACTGGTTCTCTTGCACCCGAAATTTCTTAGGCAGAGCCAAGCTGAATCTGATGTGAGACCATCCGAGGAAGAGTATCACGAAGAGAAAAAGGCGTTGGTTGAGCTTTTGAATCAAGGTATTGTAGAAGGTTTGCTGCTGCAGCCTCGACTTGAAAAGCAGACCGAAAGTGGTGGAGACTTTTTCAATGAGGCCACTGGGGAAGAGTATGCCTTTGCTCATGACAAAATTCAAGAAACGGCGAGAAGTTTGGTTTGCGATGGTGATGAATCCGAGTTCTTGGAGCGAATGGGAAACATACTGCAACAGAGGGCGCAATGTCCTCTTTATGGAGAGGATTGGATGTTTTTCTGTGCGTGTGAACACTTGAATCGGGTCTCGATGCAATATAAATCGGTTCCCGAAAGTGAAAAGCAAGAAGCGAGAAAGGAAGAACACCTCGAAGCCGAGCAACGGTTTCGGCTAGCGACTTTGAATCTACGCACTGCGAAGCTATCGATTGATCTTCTGGCTTTCCCAGCCGCGCTTGATTTTTGCGAACATGGCATTGCATATCTTCCAGCCGACGACGAGGAGCTCTGGTCTGAAAAGTACAAGGAGACTGCTATGCATCTCTTTTCCATAGCAGCTCAAGCAAAGTATGGGGTTGGGGACAATGATGCAGCAGAGCGGTTTTGCAAGCGCGTCATCGCACAACACAAGGGAGATAATCCCAATGTGACAATCGTTGAAGCGCTGCCAGCTTTTCATGTCTATCTGGACATAATTGGCGACAGGGGGGAAAAGGAGACTGCGCTTGAATTATGCTTGGAGCTCCTCTATGAACTTGGCATTGCGGTACCGAAAAGTGGAAAGATGCTTCGGGCAAAAGTGTGGTGGACGTTGAAGCAGATTGAACGTCGATTGCCAACAGAAGAATCCGTTATAAATATGCCACATGTTACGGATCCTCTGGTCGTATACAAGATGGAACTCATTCAGCAAACTTCATCTCTGGCGTATACTGCTAAGAAAACGTATCTTTATATGCTCCTCTGCTGCGAGTCGGTCAAGCATATCGTTGAACATGGGCTCACAGATACTTCAGCAGCGTCGATAGCTTCTTTCGCGAATGTGCTCATGCATGTGTACAACGATTTTAAGACTAGCCCACAACTTGCGGAGTTGGCTATCCTTATCGCGGATCGTCAGCAAAGCAAGTTCAATGAGACGCAACCATTGAATACAGCGAACAATTTGGTATTGGCCTGGGTTCGCCCGCTTTCAAGTCGCTTGAAGTACCATCAGCGTGCCTACGAATCCGGTCTGGTATCGGGTAATATGAATGGTGCGATGGTTGGCAAATGGTTTGGTTTTCAGAACGGTTTGTTCTCATGTCGCATGACTCTCCCGCAACTGGAAGGCGAATTTCAAGCTGGTGTCACCGAAATGCGCAAATTCAGTCAGCACTTTCTGGGAAACGTCGCCTCCATTGCATGGCAAGTGGTACTTAATCTCATCGGCAAGTCTGGAAATCCAAATACCACTGTGTTGACAGGAGCAGCAATCGACGAAAGCACTGAGCTATATCAACAAAAGATGCCATTCAAACTTATTTTTGGTCCTTGGAAAAGCATGGCCCTTCTCTTCTTTGGAGATTACAAGTTTGGCGCCGAATACGCACTACAAAGGGGGGACGCATTCGCGAAGATGGTAGTTGGGATGATGTATGGCTATGATTCTGTTTTTAGAGCAATACCGCTCTTCATCATGGCACGTTCGAACGATGCTCAAGGAGCAAAATACAAAAAAGAAGCATTGAAACTGCTCAAAAGAGTTAGAACCTGGGTAAAGAAAGGTTGCACAAATTTGGTGGGGCCTTACCAAATCATTGAGGCGGAGTATATGGCTTCAAAGAAGAAAGCTAAATCGGCTCGATCATATTTCGAGATGGCAGTAACAAGCTGCCGAAGAGACAACTTTCATCAGTACGCAGGTTTGTCTTGCGAACTATACTCAGATTACTTGGCGGAGATTGGCGATTCCCAAGGGTCCAAAATATACCTCCAGGGGGCCATTAATGATTACAGACGGTGGGGCGCAGCGAGAAAGGTTGACATGTTGAAGAAGAAACTTGCAGAGTAGCTGTCCACCAGATTTGCACATCGGAGAGGAGATTCATGAAGCAATATCAAAATGTTTTCCCGTATTTTTATTTTTTCTAGACTGGGGACCAAACTTTTTTTAAAAGGCCCATCACCGAATCCTTCCTCCTATTGAAAGAAAGAAATAACTCTATCTTTCTGTCAGTATACTTGCACACAAGTTCGATATGTGTAGATCGGACTTAGGTTGCTGGTGCAATACTGAGATGACGGTCGCCCTACCGTCGTTCATGGAGTCAC